AAGTGGGCATTTCTAATTGGGGGGGAGGGATGGAGGGTCGATATTGGGGTATACGTATGAGCATATGATGCAATCAGGACCGTTTCGGAATCGAGAGCGGAAAAGCTTCTTCTCCGACTATTGCGTGAGCTCTCTCGTATTTCTCCCATCACACCAAATAGTAAAATTCATTTCAATGACAACTTTTCCGTCGTGAAGAAATTTTCTTCTCCGCCAGAATATCTCTCTCCATTTTTTTTTTCTTTCAGGGAGCTTTTCTTTTTACTTATTTCACATATCATTTCTAGACGCACACATGTGCACGGATGGGGGGATCTTTATTTGTTTTTCTCGGTGATCATTTTTCGCTTTTTGTTCTGGTTTTGGTTTTTGGTCACCTCAATGCCAATTTGATCTGGCACCAATGTGGGTGGAAAAAAGGGGGCGATCACTTTACGATCAGTTGCTAAACAGCTGTTCGAGAAGATCGATCGCTCTATCGATCGATAGACAGTAATCAATGATAAAACAGATGGATCAGGATCATGGTTCATTGGCATAGCTCATAACCCAGATCCTTCTCCTCAATGATTAATAATCTAGCCTAACGAGGCTGGCATAGAAAATTCTTGTCTGCCAAAAATAAAGATGTGAACTTCACAAACACATCGATGGGCTACAAAATGCGAGAAGGCAAAAAAGAACAAAATAAAAAGCATAGTTGAAGAGATACTTTAGACATAGATACATAGCCAGAGAAATGCCACATCAAATCAACGAAGTCGGCGTCCTTCAGAGCAATGCAATGCGAAAATCTTTAGCTTTCAATGCTAAAACCCAATGTGTGCGATACAGATACATTTACAGATTGGCAAATTCCGAGTGCATTATGAAACCCATGTTCTACCGATTTGTTGGGAATTTATCAAATTCATATCGCTGACAAAGAGAATTATGATAAATGCCAACAGAATTGAAATTCTCCCACCCCTCCACAGCTATGTCAAATTCCGACACAAAAATTATTCATAATTCTCAACGAAATTACAAAATTACAGATGCAATATTTTTGGCAGAAAAATATATAAAATAAAAATTTAAAAAAAAAAACCTATATACACCCACTGCAAGGGATCTGAGAAATACTTTTCATAATGATTTGAAGCGCTTTGAATATTTGAAATTTAACAAACAACAAAATATATCGGAAAACGAATACGCAAAAAGCAACAACGCATAAAATCTAACACAAAAAAACTTTCAAACATTTTTTGGGAATATTTATAGTTTGAAAAAGTTTCAATTCTCATTCGAGTGTGAGTGCTTTCTTTGCCTTTATTCTATGGGCTTGGGGATGGTGCTCTCAATTCTTTTGCCACATATAAAATTATCATAATTTCTGTTGGGCTTCTGAAACAAAATCTGTGATATTGTCGACAAGAATTGTGGGCAAAATAGCAGCAAAACATAAACTAGACATTTAAAACACTTTTCGAAGAACCAAAAAAAAGTAAAACAACAACAATTTAGCAACAGAGCCAAAATTATTTTAGGATTTATTTTTCATTTCTGCAAGGCAATCAGTTAAGTTGGTGTATAATCTATAGAATAGCTAGAAATCCCATACATACATATGTTTAATATTTTTAAAGAATAAACATTTAGTGATCATAAATTTCTCAGGGGGTGGTTTCAACTTATTCTAGATGCTTCCCTTCCATCCTTGCAATATTCAAGCAAATCCATTCCAATTTTTATGAAAAAAACAAGAAAAATACAAAAAAAAACACATATTCGTTTTGAGTCATTGACGCAAAGCAATTTTTGCATTTTAGTGTCAAGATGCTGAGCGGCTTCTTCTTGTGTATTTTGGCACTGGCGGTCTCCCTCGATTTTTTCAGCATGGTGCAGGGGGTGTTCAGGAGGTGCCCGTCTACACGAGGCAGCAACAATTATTGCTTGCAATGGGCTATTTCAAAGCTGCCGCCACACTGCGATGTGCTGGGTCCTCCTCCGCACTTGCCCCACCGGCACCACCAAAATCAGCACCATCCCATATTCGCTGCCAAATAGAAGACACTTTGAATGGCACTTTTTTCTTTGGGAGGGGTATTTACGAGGTGCACATCTCAGGGAAGACATAAAGACTCAGCCACATGCGTTGAGTAGTGGGTATACCTGAACCCCCAAGTCGGTTAGTGGATCACTAGCAAATGGCTTTTCTATAAGGCTCTGCTATTTTGCCCGACAGATCATAAATCATCATCCTCGATAGCAAACTCATATGAATTAGCAACATGAGTTGACCCATATTTGACAAAGCCTCTGAGAAAAGTATTATATATCAATAATTTACAGGTAAAAATAACATTCTAACTCAATAAAGAATATGGCACAAAAATATAGGACTTCACCTTAGCGATGACCAACTTCGCTTGACATTATTCTTTAAAAAATATGCTACGATGATATGATTTATATGTCTTATCTAAGCAAATTAAATTAAAATAAAATAAATAATCAAGCTGGTCAAATATGATTCAATATTTCTAATACGTACTGTCTTGTACGACTAAAAAGCTTTTGGCTGAGATATGAATGCAACTGCATCCTATTTGCATCCAATTGTTTTCCCCTTAATCCCTTTCCTTTCGAGATATCAGTAACCCTGCCCGATTTTTGTTGTCAAATGGTATTCCCTAAAAATTCTGCACAACCAATTGGTTCACATAGAATGAAAATATTTTAAAAACGCCAACCGTGACCAAAATACATACATAGTCTATAGATAACTCTCGTCTAAATGCATTGGAACCCATCCAAATTGTCGATATAAAAATATCCATCGTCGGCCAGTTGCTTCGCAGGCCCCCATGTTCCAACCCCCAAACCGCAATCCCTAATCCTCGAGCGCCGATCGTCGGTCAACGTCGTGTACTCGATGGCATCTGCATCGTATCTCTAGTGCACCGATCCCATGCCCACATCTACATCCAATATACCCGAGAGATCTTTCTCTTAATTTCGCAAAAGATTTAGCAAGCTGGGGAGGATGCAGGAGGAGGAGAAGGAGGTACATGCCAGGTAGCACATGGCATGACAAATGAATGAATACTTCCTGCATTACGTGTGGGTTATGCAATCGTAGCTCTGACCATCCTACGAAATATCTGGTAATTGAGCGACTCGCTTGCAACTGTCAATCCTTGAGTTAATATACTAATATAATCTTATGAATATGGATCGGCAATGGGCTTCTTTGTTCTATGATTGATCACTAACGGGTATTTCCATTATAACAAAAAAAAAAAATTCTAATATTTCATTGGGATGACAAAAACACTATTTTTCCATTATGAACTCAATTTTAAAAGACAAAAATCAAATGGGTTTCGTAATATTTATTATCAAAATAAGCAATTTTAAAACAATTCAAATTTTTATTTATTAGAAAATTTATTTAAAAATTGTAAACGGGCTTAAAAGGAAAGATTACTTTCACTTTAAAAGGAATACCCTTACTAAAAATGGGTTTTCCTTTAAACTATTACAGATTTATTAAATCTAAAAAGTAAGAAATACAATGTTTTAATTCTAATATTCTGTTATATTTAACAAATTTTTCAAAACAATATTTCCTTAGAGCTATGATATCATTTTGGTAGCCTATTTCCACCATGGTTGTTGTGGCTTTTGCCCAATACCAATCGCCTTCATGTTTATTTTCCCAAATACAAAATGTTGTTTAGATATTTATGCAATCTATAAATCGGAAAACGTTTTCCAGCCCTCAGCTGGGTGTTGATTTGTGGACCCGTGTGGTCCGAATGATTAATTGCCTTGGCTCAATTGAAAATCGCACACGCATAATGCAAAACCAATCCGTTGAAGATTTTTGTACTTGCAAATGAACTCATAGTTGCATTTAGATGCCATCTATTGCTAATTAATTAGGCAATCCAATCGAATCATTAAGTATTAGTCACTGATGTGTGGAGCATTAAAAATTATTTCTGTAAGCATTTGTCACCCAATTAAACCGAATGCAGCCAAGTACCCAGGCAGCCAACCAAGGAATCGACTATATAGCCACCCATATACTATAGAACTCAAGTGCAGCGAATTGCAATAATCGAAGTCTATATAGCGTCGAGACTTTTATTAATGATGAGTGAAAATGGGTAATGAAAATATTTTCCATTTCGGGCGGGGGGCCAGGCAGGCAAGCAGCAATAGCCCTCTTCGCACGCCTCTGCGCGTAATGTGTGTATGCGGTCTGATTAATCATGTACAGGCCATATAGGCAGCATGGAAATGAGTCAGTACAGCGGGCCGAATTTAAAAGTATTTTTTGATTTTGTTTTTAGAAATTTATGAACGACAAGCAAAGTGTATTTTTAAAACATATTTCATACTCCACAAGATCCAAAGAAAGACCATATGTATGTGGGCCGGATCGAGCATATCTATATATGTATTAAAAGTTTGAAAGTTTTAGGAACGACAGATAATATAAAATACGGCCAGGTAGAGTTCTTTATATACAAATATTTATCGGGTATAGGACCTCGTACTAGTTGGATATATATAATATATATATATATGTATATTTGGTGAATTCTCTATATACCTTGCTAGCATACCTACTGAATCTAAAAAACATTTCATATGCGTTTAATATAGCCGCCGCTGTGTTCTAAATTTAAAGCAAAAGCTATTTAGTTGCGAAGAAGTTCAACACAAGCGAACGTTCGTTCTACTCGCTCTACTCTGCAGCTCTCTATGTATACGAGAGTATCTAAAATTTGAAATTTACTATGTAGATACACACACGCACACAGGGACCGCGTCCTGGGCACTAACTGAACGGATCCACGGCCGCAGAACGCATACGCCGTGTGGTACGCGGACCGACAAGTCCGTCAACATATCTCACAGATACAGCAGATACACAGATCTAATGGGATCGTATCTGTATCTGGATCTGTAAATGTTAATGTATATGTATTTGTGACCGAACAGTAAAGAAACACTCTTTTTTTATTTTTTTGCCGTGCTCGTCAGCACGTCCATGTCCACGTTGTGTTGGTGTTTTCATCTCATGAAATGTTTCAATTTGTCTATTTTTAGTAGCAAGTTTCTTTTTGTTTATTAGTTCTTCTTTTTTGTTGTTGTTGTTTTCTTTCTTTTTTGACTTTCCCAGCATGTACATACATAACAATGTACATAGGAGCTTGGATATATAGCAGTGGGTCGGTTTGGGGCGATGTTTCTGCTGCTCTGATTTAACGTCACATCTGAGGAATGTCTCGCAATGTTCATCTCCTCGATCTCACTGGATCCACCACGCATTGTTTGTTTGCGCCCCGAAAGCTTCGCCTATATATCCCGTTCTGTTTATATAGTTTCCATATACATAGCTCACTAATGGCTAGGTGTTTGGATTTAGATTTGGCTGTCTATAAGGTCAAACCCGCGCCCGTGCGAGGTGTTTTGATGATAGGCTAAGGTATCGCCAATGGATTTGATTTACATAAGGATATCTTTGGGAATATGATTTGTTTTTAAAATGTTTAAATACTAAGAAGATGCTTGTATGGCATCATATAATTATTTGCAAAGCAGTTATCATTGATTTTATTTGATTTTTTATTAATAAGATGTCAAAATATTAGGGATCATTTGCACATCATTTTTAAAAAAAATAACATTGTATCTATTCTTAGCTTAGTATAATTTATATAAAATTCATAAAAAAAACTTTTTTATTAGACTCTTTATCTTAGTATTTGGTACTTTTCCGTTTCAGTTTTCCAACTTTAATTTATTTTGCAAATCTTCAAGTATAATGTGTCTCTTATTTTAATAATAACCATCTAGCACCTCATTAAAAAGCATTACCCATAAGGTAGAACCTTATAAAGAATAGCTTAAGATTGCCTCTGCTCATGCAGCCGTCGTAAATAGTTATAAAACCATAAATTGGTTACCATGGCGCTGATTTCAGCTGAAAATATAGATACTATAGATATGGCGTAGCTATCTGCACCAGGCATAGACAATTATAAACAACATGTTTTGGTAATGTTACGCTTAGATTCGCGATACTACTAGTGTATGGCAAACAAAGGGCATAAACAAGACCATGCACACCATACACATGTCCTGCTAAATAGTCCCCATCGATGGGTTTGATGGAGCTTTATCGCTAACACGGCCCCTAAATCAATATTAGTCTTATCTTGACCAACTGTGAGAATTCGCACAGACTGCTGCTGGCCCAAAGATATTGGCCCTCAGCCATGACAGAAACTGCTATCCATAACCAGCGACCGCACTCGAGTTTCACTTTCCGCACGACATGGGTTACTGGTCGGAGACTCGAGCCTGGATCTTCCGTGATCCGGCCAAGCTCATCCGCTATCTTGTACTTTTCGCTTGCTGCATTGTGGTCATTGTCCAGTTGTACGAGTGTTTTTCCAAGCTCTATGATCCACCCATCTCCACGCATTCCTACTACAATCTGAACGAAACCATAGAAATGCCTGCGGTCACCATATGTCGGGAACCGCCTTACAAAGAGGATGTGCTAACGGTTAGTGGATATCTACAAATTCTGAGCTTAAAAAAAATATATATACACATATATCCTTTAGCACCTTTCTGGAGGTGCCTGTCCTCATCCCAAATATGCTACCTGTTGGATGAACTATCCCTTTGGAGAAGTATCCTTGGAAGAGTTCTTTGAAAATAGCACACATAACATGGGAGATACTTTTGTATTTTACGGACTAAATGAAGATATGAATAGTAAGTAAAGAGGATTTTAATTATATATATCTAACCTATATTGATATACTGCAGATGTGGTTATGGATAGTAGTCTACATTTTTATATGGGCCGGTGCTATACCCTTCGACCCAAGGAGCCCGCCAAAAGAGTATCCAAAGACGTAGGTTACTCCATAATGCTAGAGCATTCCATACTGACTACATCCACCAGCGATGTGGATACAGGTGGAGTCGGCTGGCATGTGTTTATACACGATAAGAAGGAAAACTTTACAGGTAAGTTAACAATACATTAAGCCCTAAAGACATAACACCTAATACTTATTCCTTTCAAGAAATCAACATGAAGGGTTCTGGTCGAGTCGAGTATGTTTTTGTGAGTGTAAATGAGGAAATTGAGATCAAGCTTCAAACCCAATACTTTTCCAATGTCCAGACCAGAGAAGAAGCCTGTTCCTACGATGAGAATTACAGTGACTTGAAGGTAGAGCAAGAATTTATATAATTTGTGAGTTTAATCTTAGAAATCACTTCAGTGTGGGGAACAATGCATTTGGCAGGATTTGGCTGATAATATGCAGTGCTCAGGGCCTTGGATGCACGAAATTGCCAGTGAACCCTGCAACGACTCTGTTTCAATGAGAAAACTAATATCGGATTATAAAGAGTAAGTCTGCATATATATGGTGGCATTTTAAGCTTAACCACTTCTCTTAGTGTTTATGAAAATGAGGATGATTTTGACTGCGACTGTATTCAGCCCTGCCAATCGAGAATCTATACAACATTCATACAAAACCGCAAGACCTTCAACCAACCAGAGCCCCGCACTCAAATCTATATATACTACACAACCAAACTGATATCGGTAGGGGTCTAATGATTTCATGATGCATCGAATTGTGAATGAACCTGTTAACTGTTAACATTTGCAGATGATTGAAGAGCGTCCCAGCTATGACACCACACAATTTATAGCCGATGTGGGTGGATCCCTTGGATTTCTGCTGGGTCTGTCTGTCTTGGGATTGATTGGAATACTAGAACATGTATGACAAAGTACTATCTAACATTAAGTTCTTTCTATATATGAGTTCTATACTTTTAGTTGACTCTCTTTTTCTGTGGCGGATTCATTAAGAGGATGCAACAGAAAAGAGCAGGCTAAGTTGGCTGAAAATTCCGAGGATGGTCAGTCTCAAACCAGTGATGAGACCATCGATATAGCCATCGCTTATAAGAAGAAGGATAAAAAGCAAACAAAATATTGAGTCAAGAATCAAGCTGGCTTGGTTTTGCATTAAAACTAGGAAGTTATATGAAAACTAATCAAATACACTTCTTACATTTAATCAACATCACGAACAACGTTACAGTTTTCTTAGCCTAAAACTTAACATAATACAGATGCACTCAAATAAAAAAATATTTCGTATGTTTAAGAAATCCAAAAGATCTGTTTCTTTCTAAAATTCCGAAAATATTTCTTTTAAGTGTGCAAGATACTTTTGTACAGCTCTGGGGATCTAGATCCTAAAACTTGTCAGCAAACACAAGCCAACAATTAGCAAAGAAGTCAGTTTCTCCAAGGAAGCAGCTGAGCTTGTCTTTACCTTAATATTCGTATTAAGTATATCCCCAAGCTTATTGATTACATCCGGCAGAGGGGAAGTTCTTATTTCGCAGGCTGTGTTCTCAATAGCCTCCTTAACACTGGCAGTTAAAATGCGGAAATTAATGGAACCTGCGTATAGTTCATCGTAAATGAAGACGGGTAGCTGATTTGATAGCACCCATAGACGCTTCTGTTCATCAACTTTGATATCACTGGGGAAAACCAATGTATCATTGCTCATGAAGATGCGACTCTGAGAACTGTGACTAAACTCCGTGGCAGTGCGCCAGCAGGCAACTTCATTAAGGTTGGGCAGAGCGTAAAAGAGGACACCAGTATCCGGATCCAAGAACTCAGCTCCAGCCTGAGTGTTCGGTCCTCTGGAGCCCAAAACCACGAACTCTCGATAAATCATTGGCGAAGTGGCTAGAGTTTTGTTTCGCAGTATTGCTGTATCCACAGAGAACTCCATGGTGGAGCACAATGGATGGAAGTACAATGTGGAATAGCCAGTTTCCAAAGGTTTCGACAAAGCCAGACCATAAAGTCCATCATCCCACTGGAATTCAATGCCATTTATGCTGAAGTTACCGGCCATCGGATCTGGGTGGAAGAAGTGATGCTGCACTCGCCATGATTCTTGATCTTTCCATGAGTAAACCACCAAGCCGGGACTGCCCAAGTCAGCTGCATAGGCATAGGTGTTCTCACAATCAGAATCCTCTACTGCCAGATTGGCCAATAAAGATCCCTGCTTCAACTGAGCAGCAGGAAGAACGTGACGTCTTAACAGATCATCATTGTGCAGATCGTAGACTAGAAGCTGAGCTGCTCCGAATATCTTGGTCTGCTCTAGTACTCCAGAAATCCGAGAGTCCAAAACCCAAAGGCGTCCACACCGATCGGCTCGCACTCGGAATGGAGAAACCAACTCTGGGTCAGATTCTTGCAGATTGTGAGCCTCCCAGCTGGGGTAGGGCTTCAGGACGGGACTCTTGGTGGAAGTATCTGTAAATAAACAATTAGAAATATAATTTTATTTGTTTTTCAAGATCTGTATTATTTTTGATCGCTATTTGAAGGTTTATTGATCTCTCCCGTCAACAGTCATTTCATTTTTTGTGTGTTATTTAAATTTGGTCATTTGCATTGCTTTTTGTTTTGGTTGCCGCTAATTGGCTTGCTAACAAAATTCGGTGTGTATATGTAATGGTTAAATGTTGGTGAGTAATTCACACTGTGACTGTTTATTTAAACATGTCTAAGCTGATTAACTGGCTAATAAGCTGAGATTGAGCTGTGGCTAAGGCAACTGCCCACTTGCCTTGTTGTGAGGCGGTAAAAGGTAAAGTAACTTTATTTATAGGCTTGGAATGGAAAACGATTTATACTTGTATTCTAATTAGCACACACATTGTAATAACAAAATTACTGATATATGTACTAAAGTTAAAGAAAGATTTTAACTCAAAATATGTAAAACTCAGTAAAAATCTTGAATTTTCAAAAATAGAAAGAATGTTTGCCAACAAAATTGCCTTCTTTTGAGAGTATCCTGAAGTTAAAGTGCTCTTACTTTGACCAAATCGGAATATTTATTGTACGCTTAGCTGCCCCCACACGGAATCTCATATGATCCAGTATATATAGATATAAGCTCATATCCAGTATGCACCGATTTGTGGGATGCAGTTGTTGTCAGATAGTTAATGACGCTAGTGAGCGGAATTATCATACTAATTGCCGCAAGTGCGAAAGGAAACGGAATTGTTTGGATGGTCAAGTTGATTAGACAGCGCCGTCAGACGCGACCAAAACAATTGCTGAGCTGTGAGATCTGAGATTTGAGATCTCAGATCAGTTCTTGGCACACATAGTGCAATTGCATGGGGCAATTATATTCAAATACAAATGCTGCTGTGGCAGCTGCAACAATGCAACTCATGCGCTTACCATTAAGATCAAGGTAGGCCAACGAGGCCGGCACTCCGGCCCGCCATCTGGGCAAAGTGACAAAGAGCCGATGCCCAGCGACCTCCAGGCCAAAGGGTATCACATTGGCCGGCTTGAACTCGCCCCGCTCGATGGCTGACCATCTCTGATCCGGATTGGCGTACTTGAAGTCCATTTCCCGCCATTCATAGGCCACTCGAAGATTGTCGTTTCCCATGGCAGCAACCGCCCACAGAAGGAGTAGTCCTAAAGTGAAACGCAGCATGGCTTAAATAAATTCACTGCAAATACAAAAATCAATTAATATTAGCTGGTCTACTCATTTAAGCTTCCGTTAAGCCGGAATGGCCTTGTCCAAGCCATAAACCTAACCAGATCAGACACTCAGAAAAAATCAATTCAACAATAACTTGATTTGAATTTGCAACAAGCTTTTGTGAATTTCTTTCACATTTTTAACTTTTTCTCTGACTAATGTACCCCAGTTTTTTCCAATGTTTCTCTCTGTACATTTGCTTGTTGTAATGTTAATAATCGCTCAATTTTGTCACTCCGTCCAGCCTCCGCCGCCTTCTTGGCCTTCTTATTCTCCGTGTGAGTCACACTTTGTTATGTCTTTGGTTCACTTGGTTATTTGAAAGTTGCCTTTTGGTCTGTTTTCAGCAGAGCCAAATTCTGACTAAGTTGTCAAACCACAAAGGTTTTTTTCTGGTTAAAAGCGAGTCTTGACGTACATTATCTAACCAAAAAGATCGGAATGTGTTCAAGAAACTTTGGATACCCTTTTAAAGGAAACACTTTGGGACATAATTTTTCCCAAATCATATAAAAAAGATCTTCTTAAATAAAGTATATTAAAAGAAAAGCTCTTTATAATAAACCCATTGAACCATTCTCCATCTGCAGCACTTCTCAATCTGTCTGGCACATCATTCAAACTTTATTTTTAGAGTATCTCAACCATCTCTGTAACTCCTAAGTCTCAAACACTCGACCTCATCATCAAAAATTCAAGTTGAGACCCGCAATTCAGCCATTAGCATTTCAATGAGCGCACTCCGACTGACCGCCATTCTCCTCGATTGTTTAAACTATAAAAATTTATTGTGAATTTTGGGCATTTTTTCGATGATGAATGATTTGTGCACGCATTTTTCAAGTTTCTTACATGAGTCAGCTTTAAAAAAAGTACTTTCTGAACTCTTTTCCTTTCGAAATTTTGCTTGTGGGCGTTTCTGAACAGTGTGTAATTAAAACTTTGTTTCATTATTAAAGACTTTTAATCAGATTTTACTGCATTTTATATACTGTTGATTTTAGTTTGGGGTTTTCCGCATTGTCCATGTTTTTTCGTCATTACTTAACACGTTATTAATGTTTATCTTGATTTTTGTTACAACCAAATAGATGACAATTGTCAATGGCGGAGGCACACTTTTTGGCCAACTCCAGTCATGCAAACCTTTTTATCTACCTAATTCAAAGTTTGTATCTTGAATCTCTCGTTTGGCCCTGGTTTCGGTTTTATGACCACCGAGTTTATTTGATTTGCTGGACAAATCTTTACCAAATGTCAACAGTTCGGGTCAGTACTTAACACACCTTTTTTCGAATCACAAAACAGCAGCGGGAATACAACCGCCAGCGTCGATGGTTGAAACGAAACTAAAAGTCAAGTGAGCCGCCAGTCAAGTCAACTTTTTAGAGACCGGTCTGCGTGAGTGGTTCCCGCTCCATGTGGCTCTCTTGGAATTCGACTGAACTTGAATTAGTCAGCCGTTAAGACGGTTTAACACGTTGGAAATGAATTAAAGTAATTTTTGGCACGCTCCCTGGGCTATCCCACAAATAATATACATAACTCCCACGCCATATATATATATTTTAATATATCCATTAAAATCTCCAGCTGTGGCCCTGCGATTGACAAGCCCCTGAGAAGGCTCCCACACTTTTTATAGCCATCACAGGCCTACTGTCTATTATGACTGACCCATAAATTTGACATGGTATTAGACAAGCCCAAGTCCGAGTAATTTTCCCGGGTTGCTTGTTTTAATCAATATTTTAATTTATTTCATTATTAATCATCATAGAGAGTATCTGGTTTCTTGATGTCTCATTGACAGGGATAGCCCTATGAGTCATCAATAGTTGAATGGAATTCCCAACCAAGATATGATAATAAAATATCATTTACATATTAATATTAAAATAATTTATAATCTAATACCCAAGAAAACTCAAGGTTCTTAATTTTTATTCGATTTATTTAAATGTCAATAAATTAATTTCAAAAGAATAGAGAACAATTGAAACATTAAACTAGAAATATTATCATTATGCATTGTGTTTTCCTAATTGTATTTCTTGCTTCGTATTTAGTTTAAAAGAATTTAAACAATTGCTCATATAACTTGCTGTTGGTATACTTTCTTTGTTTTTTTGCGTAAAAAACAGTTTACATACAAGAATGCTAATTATATATATATTTATTTTGTGTTTTTCTTCCTGACTTTTTTGCATCTTTTCATTTAAATTACAACATTAAAAATGATTTAACATAGGCAAATTTGTTGATTTTTGATTTTATGCATTTGCACTAATTATATTATAGGCATTAGCTAAGTATTTGTGTGATTATTTGTTGAACGAACATAAATGGATTAAGGAAAATCGATTTGTTAATTCCGTAAGCTTTATTTAAAAGTAAATGCAACAAAAATTGTGTTGTAAAGCTTATGAAAAATATAAACACGTATTTATATATATTTACTCAAAGATTAATTAATTAATAAACACTTTGGTCGAAAGCTTCGAAGATCTTTGGCAAAACAAATTCTTAATCATTAATTAGTTTAAAAAATTGATCGATCTTGAATACTTTCCCAAAAAAAGTAGTTGCAACTATCAAAGCATTATTGATTAAAATTGATATATATCGATAAATGAGTAAATCAACACGAAACAAAATGTGTAAACAAACATTATTGTAAATCTCTTTCGGTTCCACCATCATAAAGATGGCTTTGAGACATGGTGTGATCGATGTAGTTTTTGGTGATCTTGCCGCCGGATTTAGTGGATTGAACAAGACGCGCGAAGTATGCTAATGCGGGTCGTCTGATTCAATATAGTTATAGTAAGATAGTAGTTGTGTTATGAGTGTGGATATAACGATTGAGTGGTTGGTTGCAAGACAAGGACCGAAAAGTCCAACAGTTAGTTCGATAACTGTGATGTGCCCTCGCCTCAGAGTTACAATATATCATGGACCAGGCCATGTATATCGGCTGACTTAGCTCCGGCACATCGCCTGCGTCCGATTCGAACTTGTACTTCTGGGTCGGAAGGCATACTCGTCTGGGCATGCAAAACATAATCCAAAGATAGACATATACCACTTATTTAAAGATATAGACAGAATCGGGGGAAGGAGGTCGGACGCAGGGGACTTTTCGCTCAGCAAAATTAATGTGACACGCTTTCGACTGAACGCGACAGACATTTACGGCTCTTGGATCGGTTGTGTGGGGTTTAGTATTACAGTGACTGCCATTTGTTCAGCTACTCGCGTGTCGCCCAGCGCAAAGACAGACAGATATTGGTGGTGTAAATTTTTAATTTTTAAATCTTAGATCAAAGTTTCTTTTTCTTTTCGCAAAAACACCTAAAGCCCATTAAATGTTAACAAAACTTGTAGCCTTTTAGCTGTACTCTTTTTAAATGAAGGCGTGCATTGCATGGATAGTATTTTACGTTTAAAGAATTAATCTTTGTAATATAAAATCATATAAACAAATATTGTTAAATTTTTTGAAAAGACCACCACCAAAACTAATAATATAATTGGACTACGGACGGGAAATGCAACCAAAACTAAAGCTTAAAGAAAAGTTAATTCAATTTCATTGACCCTACTCATAAATCTCGATTAACTTAAATAACACAACCTCAAACTAGCAATAGGAAAAATATTACCAAACAAAATTATACAAAATATAGATTTTTCAAAATATCAATAATTATAACAATTTTATATTGAATACACTAAAGATTTATCTAAACAAAAACGTTCAATTTTTTATTGCATTCCCGAAAATAATAAAGCAAAAGTGTTAAGTAAAAGCAACACTACAAAATAATATGCGTCCATAAAATATTTACAAAGTCTTCGCAATACTTTTACCAGAGAGAGAGAGAGAATATATATTCTACGAGTACGATTATATAACGACTGTGTACAGATGCGAGTTTAGTCGGGAAGTGTGTGATTCGTATACGAGTATTGCCACCAAATCTTCGATATTGTCTGTCTTGCATTGAGGTACTCTCGTCTGAAGCACGCCGTTCTAACACCGCAGGACTATCGAACCGGGCCAACGAAATTGATATGGCCGGCCGGCGATATCCTGTTTGCGGTGCGGCAAATTTGCCAGACCCAAAAGTCCAACATCAATTTTGCGCTAAACTGGCCCGATTGAGGGGTAATATATATTCGGGTTCAATCGTTTCTTCTTGGGCAGTTTTTCACTTGTCATTGCTTATGAATTAAATTACACGATATAGATACATTAATACATGTATTTATACATAGAAATATAGTATAAATGATTGGGTTACAAATGTGTACTCTAGGTATACTCAAACAAAGGTGAGTGTTGTTAGTTGGTGTTTGCATGGTGCTCTCTTTAAGGTTCTCAGTGCTAAGTTTAACTACCCTATAGGCTATACTGGGTTAGGAGTATTCGAAGATCTCAAGGGAGAACAATCTGACTCATGCTGCGTCCCATAAACATCATAACAAAACAATAAGGATACGACTAGTACTCATTAACTGACAATCGACTACTTATGCTAGCTACAATTTACGATCGGATTAACAAAAGCCTGAGCGTCTCTATGTAGGGTGTTTCCTGGAGTATTATTATTTAATTAATTCAAACACTAGTTGAAGTTTTGGAAAGGAAGCTAGATAACTGGGAACTTTTGGAAGAACACTACGGTAACAACAAAACTAAAACCATTAAGATAAATCCCGGAGTGTACTTAGTAACACGTGAGAAATTCCTATCTAATTAGATGCCTCCTGCTGGCAACTCTGTATAAGCTATATAGCGTTTTTAATTTTCGGGATGGGAATATTGTTTTATTGTAAATGTTGTTGTTTTTGTTTAGTACCAACCATACCATAACCAAATGACTTAGGATAAATAGTATTTTATATGCATATATATAAGTATTATAAAAGGAAATCAAATTGAATGTAGATACCTGCTCTGATCTGTTGTCTCGCGATGACACACACCAAATGTATTTATGTATATTACATACCAAAAGAACAAAAACGATACAAAGAAATATTGAATATTTTTATATAAATATGTTTTGTATATAGTTAAATATACTATGTAAAGAAAGATAGAACTTACTTTTTGTCAGCCGCAACTGAACGAATGAACGAAGGTCTAGAGTCTAGACAACATGGGGCCTGAACAAAAGTTGTATGAATTGTATAACATTTAAATAGATTGCAGAGCATTTCACATGGACAGAAAGAATTGAAAGTATAAATTACGCACGAATAACACAAAAACAACACAAAAATTCTGCTTATGGCAATTGTCAACATACCCAGAGCTTTGAGCGTTCAGGTTTTGTTTTTGTTTTTTGGTTTTGGTTTTTGTGTGATTTCGAAGATTTTCTTTTCGTAATTCATTTGTTTTGGAGGAGATATAATTAAACAACTTGAGTGTGTGTTTGTAGGTGGATGTGTTTAAAATATATGCACACTAAATGAAACTAAAAAAAAGAAAGAGAATGTTAAAAAAAACAACAAGTTGTATAGATTAAGTGTCAACGATTAATTTGTTGATTATACAGATATAGATACAAATAAAACATAGAGATCTACAGCACAGCAAAGTAGCTTCAGATGGATAGTGTTAGTATGTGTTTTTAGCAATGTGGTGTATTGTATTATACTAAAATCAGGAATAATATATATAAAAGATGTACTTTTATGCACACATGTCGATAAGATTAAATTAGTTAAATTAAAAATTAGAGAGATTGGTTTGGTTTCGATCTAATGCCACTTTACCGATGGTGCATACAAAAACACAAGTTTCAGATATATTACTCCCAATATTTGTACAACCCAAACGCTGATTAGTGGGTAGCGTGTGTTAAATAAGTGTGTGTTTGGGTGATGATGTTGTGTCTCAAAAACTGTTATACATTGAAAAAAAAAAACTGACTTTGGTTTGAGTTTTCAAAACAACTTGCTTGCTGTGTGCGCGCTGTTTGCTGTTTGCAATTAAAAGCTTGATCCTTGCCTCACTCGTGGAAAAGCAGTGGCAGTGGCAGGCTCAACAGCGGCGGCTGAGCCTGCAGAGTGGCCGTGGTCCTCGAGAACGGCCGCCCAGGCTGCACGTGCTGGGGATGTGGCTGTGGTTGCAGGTGCGTCGGTGGCGGGGCTGCTGGTGCCTGCAACAGACCCGGCGCTGCGGGCAAACATCATCTGAAGCGGGGCTGCATCATCTGCAGCATATTGGGATGTCCTTGCAGCATCACGCCCATTCCCGGCATAGCCATTGCTCCAGCTGGTAAGGCACCCGGCATTCCTGGTAACCCTATGGCCTGCATGGGCAGTAAACCTAAAAATTGAGACCAAATTTTATTACAAGTTATACTAAACTCAACTGAGCTACTTGCCTGCAGGCATGCCGTGTATTGTGGGGGCACCGGCCGCTCTTAGCATATTCCCGCCGATGAGCGCTCCGTGAGGTCCGATGGCCATGGCCGGTCTCAGCATCGGTTGCATCAGCTGCATGTGGCCAGGTATCGGCATCTTGAGATGACGGATCGTATGAGGAGAGAAAGATATAGAAGAGCATGGAAACGAAAGCACGGATTAATACTCTTGAAGACACTTTAGCTAGGTCTATATTGAAGCCATTGTACACAAAATTAGCTAAGTTGTTATTAATTATGATTGTTTTTTGTTTTTTTTTTCATTTAAAATATTAATAAGTTTGTTTTGCGTACTTATTCAATAAATGGGTAAGAGGTGTGTGTATGTGTGTTTGGTTTTTTTTGTGGGTGGAAAACATTTTTGCATCGCATTACAAATGTATGATAGAGCAGAGACAAGATATATAGAGTAGAATATTGAGTAGATCAGAGAGAAGAAGCGAAACTTCTCTTCTCACCATGACAAAAATAATATATATTTTTTAAATTAAATAGTTTGTTGATTTAAAAAGAAAAGTACTTACAATTCGGAAACTGAACTGACGACGACGATGGTGTGGAAGAAGGTGTGAGGGGATAACATTGCAAACCATATATGGTTTTATTTATCATAATATTTGAGTTGCACTTTTATTGGAGCAACAATAAAAACTAATCGTATTCGCACTTAAGAGAAAGAAATAGTAATTCGATTTACTAACCGGAGACATGAGGTCAAGTTCAAGTTCCAATAACGTTTAGTTAGAAGTTAGTTTTCAACTTAGCTAATAAAAGATCAATGAGGATGAAAGTGAGTTAGGAGGAGGTCTATGGCAAGCTTATGTGTAAGAAATTACATGGAAAGAAGAATTTCCAACCGATAGTCCTCCACCGTGAATAAGCACTTGTTTTGCGCATAAAACCAGATGAATGGAAGAGTGTTAGTGTAAATGGAACTGAAAACGGGCAATAATCGGACGGGGTTTGAATGTAGGAAGATTATATAGACAGAGATGCATGATCTTAAGAACGTAAAACATTGATTTGGTAGTACAATTTACAGATCAAAGAACATTTAGATATTATGCTTATGAGGTATTTCAGATTTGTTTATATTGGTGGGTGAAGTTATCGAGGTAATAGAGATAGAGAGACATATCAATGCGGTGTGTAGTCTTAATACTTAATTCATGTATATTTTGTGGATATGAATTAATCAATCAACCAGTCAATCAATCATCAATCAATTAAACCAACCAACGCAGCAACCATTACGACAAATTCAAAGTAATTGTTTTTTTTTTTTTTTTGGTAATAGTAATTATTGAAATGTACTTACATGGCTTGCAAAAAAGTTTAATTATAACTCACGACTCTTTTCTCATTCATTATTATATAGAAATTGTAAATTCATTGTTTTCTGTTTTACTTGCAAGGCAGTACGTACTAGAAACTTTCTTGGGGTCAGGATTAAGATCTTGTGGATTATATACGCATAGGTGTGAGCGATTGAGAGAGATAGAGGAGAGTAGGTACTTGCTTAGACTACATAATTACTTGCATAAGTACGACTAATTAAGATTATAATGGAGTTGTTGGCTTTTACTTATCTTGTTGCATTGCGCACTATGCATTTCACATATCATTTTGCGGGTTGTGAGTTTTTTATTGGGAGGGAGTGATTAGGTTGGACTCGGTGGAGACGGGAGTGGGAGTGGGGGGAAGATAAACTTGTTGTACAAAAACAATACATACTGTAACACTGTTTGGACCCTGCGCAACACTTTTGCAACTCTTTATCGTTTTTCAACTCTGAACTTCTGCTTTGTACTGCAATTGTAACGGTTACTTTAACACATTTTTCGAGTTTACAAACTTAATACTGTTTAGAATTTATAAGGCTTAAGACTTATTAGTGGAGTAAGTTGAAATCCCTTGTTTATAATCTGAATAAAAGTGATGTGTTTGAAAAGTAAAGGAAAATCTCAAGCGGTACGGTTGGCAAGCGATTGTAGTTAGCCAAATGAATATTTTTTACAAGTGATCGAAAAGTTATTTGATTTAAGTGGAAGAATATTATTATTGGCTGATGAGCTCTCAAATCGTTTTAGAGATTTTAAGAAGCTCTAGGCATGTTAAAGTTTCTAATATTATTAAAACATTTACATTAACTGTTCCAAATACTTTTAAACACATCCATCGTCTTTCTTAACAAGATCGTTTAATGAATTTAACAAATGATTTCAACGGCAGAAATTAGAAGTTAGTCTTGTGAGTGTAGGGATTGGTTAACCTTTGATTATATATCTTGAAGATTTCAATTTCAATTTCAGAACCCCATTTAAATCTGGATAAACATCGGCTAGTAAGTGAATTAGCATGATGATGGGGGCGAAGCTCTAAACTAAATCGGGTTAACCCACTCAAAAATGCTGTCGTTGGTTTATTTATACCACCCCGGGACTCAAGATCGGTATTTGTTTCACACATTGTTTTTTGTGGTCTATTAAAGATTGAGATTCTCAGCACTTGGAATTCGATTTTGTTAGGTCAAGTTCATTCTTTCGTTTGGTTGTTCGCGTTGCATACGCAGTACCGCAAGATTAGAGACTTACCATTCCGACGGCTGCTGCCGCCGCAGCCGCTGCTGCAGCGCCAGGATTCGCTGGCTGCCGGGCAGCCTGAAGACGCTGGAGCATCACAGCCCGATTGAGTTCCTCCAGTTGCTTGACCTGCTGCTGCTGGGCCGCCTGTTGCTGCTGCACCACCTGCTGTTGCACTGCGGCTTGCTGTTGCTGCTGTGCCGCCTGCTGCTGGGCTGCCACAGCGTGTGCCACATGTGCTGCCTGGACCTGTGCTTGGACCACGGCCTGGGCCTGAGCTTGTGCCTGAGCCTGCGCCTGTGCCACGGCAACTAAAGCGGCGGTCTGTAAGAAAATGTTGGGAATCGATTGAATTTATCTCACACATGCCACACAGAGGGGTATATATCTGGGGTAACCCAAGTAACGCATTCACTGACTTAGAGACGATTTCTTTATATTTAAATATCCTGTCGTTAAGGGAGTAATTCAAGAAAAGAAATGCTCAAAACTATACAAAAATAGGATATTGAGGTAAACCATTTTGTTATGGAACTAAAAAAAACTAAATAAATTAAACGTTTTAATCGTTTTAAAAGTTCTATAATTTTGAAAAGTATTAAAATTGTTTTAAATGCAGAAAAAGTACAGCAAGCTTTCAATTGTTTGAAAGTTGACAAATTTATTTTCTAAAATTTCCCTGAAAATAGGTTAATATAAAATCTGCCCCTAAAATCCATTAAAATAGGGTCTTCCTAATAATAATTTTGTCGCTTTCATTGATTAGGCTCCCCTTAAAAATATGTTATATTCTTTTTTGAATTGCATTTCCGATTCTTCCGTTTAGTCTTCGAAATGCGAGACAGGAGAAACTATCTGTTTCGATGGCATCTCAGGTTTCGGTTTGGGGACATAAAAAACTTATATTTCCCTTTTATAAAGTACTCTAGGTTTCGCAGAAAGATGCTTATGTCAGAGGATCTTAACTGGTTAAATTGAAAACCGCCGTTTCGTTTGTTTTGTTGCCATTAATTTCTTTGTTTAATTAAAAAATTGTACAGACATATATCATACTATATGCTAAAAAAAGTAATTCTTTTTTAATAATGTTTTGTTTCATGTGAATCTTGTAATCCGTTTGCTTTCGTAAACTGTGGTTATGTAGACGTTATATCCGCGATCGCTTTTTTACAAAATTTGTAAACAAAACGTAATTTTAACGAAAGTTCGTATCAGTTATGTATAAAAAAGTGTTCCAGTTTGGAAAAATGGAATTCTTTCTGAACGCAAAATGCAGTCAAAATTTAAATGTAAGTCAGGTTTTGTATGTGCATTAATTTTTTTGAGGAAGTTGTCTTTTTTACACGTCCGCATTTCAGTCCGTTATGTTTATTAATTCCTGTTTATCAATGTCTCGTATGTAAGTCGTTTCTGTCGCTGTATGTTCATTTATATTGACTATGGTTTCTATAACTATGATAAGAACTCACTTCCTGGGCCTTCGACATGGCTGTGGAGACAGCAATCGCATTAGCCATGCCACTGCTGCTGTTGCTGCCAGTGGGCGAGATGCCAGCAAGCGACGGGGGCGGCGGGGTAGTGGGTATCAACGCTGATGTGCCACCATTATTGCTGGGACTTTTGCGGCTTTGTGGATTCGCCTGGGCAGCTTTAGCGGCAGCCAGACGCGCCTGAATCTTCGGTTGGCGGGCGCGAAGTTCCTCAAGGCTAAGATCTTCTTGCGGATGCATGATCTTGGTAGTTACAGCGGCAGCACTTCCTGCTGCTGGTGGAACCGGCGGTCGCTGCTGCTGTTGCTGAGCATCTGGCGGACCACTTGGTGGTGCACTGGTTGCGCCACCAGCATGGTTAGTGGTGGGCGGAGCACTTATGGTAGCATTACTTTATCGGAATGGCAAAAATAATGGTTAACTTTAGTAAAAAGATACTTAGATTATGGCCAAGAAAAAAGTCGATCGACTTGCTTCAGAGGCTCAGCTGTAAAAGGGAAAACCACGTTGAAATTAATTTCAATTTTAGATTCCAATAATTAAAAGTAAAATCGTACCAAAATAATTGACAAGAATAGACTTAAAAACTTTGATCCTTAGTATTTTAGGATAAATCCTGCATAGAAATTATGTTTTTACATTTGTATTAAGACCTAAAACATTAACTTTAACAAAACAAAAATCTAGAAAGCTCTGAACCTACGATTTCTATAAAAGACTAGATTTCAACGTGGTTTCCCCCTATCGATGCCCACCTGTACGCTGGAAATGTTGGCTTCTGTTGGGCCATTGCGGCAGCATGGTGATGGTGTGCCGCCGCCGCCGCAGCTGCTGCCGCCGAGGTAGTGGCCATAGCGGCCGGAAACAGAGGTCGCGGAGGCATCATGTGCGGCATCATAGGCACTGGATACGGAGGCAACGGCGGCATGTGCTGCATCATGCCCATGCCATATTGACCTAGCATGTGCGGTGGCATCATGTTCGGGGGCATCATCATGGGTGGCGGTACACTCATGGCATCTGCAAATGAAAATGCTTAAATATTTATTGAGATTTCAGGTCGGGTACCACTTACATTCCACTTTTTTCTTGGCCACGGGTTCATCATCGTCCGAATCCGACTTACCGCCATTCTTCTGGCGTTCGTGATCTCTAAGATCCTCGGCCGGAATGCCGTCCATACCGAAAATTTCGATTTCAATGTTTGAGCGATTAGGAAGCGAGTTGGGCACTTTATCAACGGTCTCCTTGTGCACCTGCATACAATGGATAGAAAGCCCCGGTCCTGTGTACAGCTTTTTGTGGCATATGTGGCACTTAAAGTGCTTGGCCTTCTGGTGCTGGACCAGGATCTTCTCGTCGTCGAATTCACGGTTGCAGTACCTAGTTTTAGCTAAGAGTTAAGGAAAATTTATGGAGGATGTGGATATGTGGCCCCCCCGGCCCAATACCATTATATAAATTTGTGTGTATGTGGAGATACAGCCAACGACACATGCCGTTGAAAAATAGTTGTTGTTTGTTTTGCGAAAAGGATACCAGCACCATGGTTTTGAGGCCTTCTTCTTCTTGCGTCCCATGGTCTAATAATTGCTTTAAAACACTTAAATTTACAAAAACTCTCGGGTAATTAGTATAAAAATGCAATTTGATGTAGCAAAAAAGGTTTTGCCGTGGAAAACAAAATGGAGAGCCAGTCAGAGTGACCAGATGGTCTCGAGGTTAGCGCTAGTATTATCGATACTTTCGATATTTCAAATCTGGCCAGCAGAAGTTGCAATCGGATGAAACATGATAACTATTGCTGGGATTTTTCAGACAACAAGCAACGGTCTCTTAAACCAGCCGGCATTTACCAAGGAATATAATAATGGCAGATAAAAAGGTAGATATAATAAAATAAAAAACATTCAACGTCTAATCACTATTTTCATGACATTTAAGGTGGGAGGCAACAATGACGGCAAGGAGAAACGGCGTAAGGAGTCGATTCTAGATCTCTCCAAATATCTGGAAAAACAGATCCGCGTGAAATTCGCGGGCGGCCGGGAGGCATCCGGAATTCTTAAGGGATACGATGCTCTTCTAAACTTGGTTCTGGACAACACGGTAGAATACCTGCGGGATTCAGATGAGCCTTATAAACTGACCGAGGACTCCACAAGAAGTCTGGGGTTGGTCGTCTGTCGCGGTACAGCTTTGGTACTCATTTGTCCACAGGATGGAGTCGAGAGCATCGCCAATCCATTTATAACGCAATAATCGTAGAGCCAGTCGTTGGTATCCTGGATTTAAACTAAGTACAAAACTTTTATGGAATTCGGTTTAAATATATTTAGCGGAGACATACGTATAAATTATATCTTAAATCTAAAATTAGGCCACAAAATACAACTTTTGTCAGCCCGTGAAAGTTTTTTACTTCTTTAATATACATACTTCTGTTGTTCTGAATCTGAGTTTAGAAATTTTCCAATAGTTCAGACAAGTTCTGAATTTAGTATTTGATTCCTATACCGTATCAAATTTATCTTTTTTATCTCTAATTAATAAATATTAATTTGTCTAGAAACATATATAGATATTGCACTTCTCATATTGTTATAATCAAAATTTTGTATAATGGGTCTTAAATCAATAAGATTTTTAAAAAACTTTTATCAAAAAGTGATAACTGCAAAGAAGTTTCTTCTAAAAGGAAAATCTAAGACTTCAGTACAACCCAGTGAATATGCAGAAGGAAAACCCTTTCCGGGCAGCTACTTATTGTTAAGCGGGCTATCACCTTAGTCCAAGCCGAACTCGTTGCGAATCCAGGGATACTGAGCAGGACATTCCGTGCACGTGTAGAAGAATCGATCCTCCTGCAACACCCGACTCCGCACCTTGCATACATTTGGCAAGTTGCAGACCCGCTCGTGGGGGTCCAAATCCTTCGGCTGGCAGTGCCAAGACTCAAATTGATGCAGCTGATTGCTCGGCGTGGGATGCCGCATCCATTGAATCGCCTGCTGGCTGGTCACAAAGTAAACATCCGGCAGCTTTTGCAGATCATCGAGGAATTTCTAAACGGCCAGTGTGGGATTAAAATCAAATATTGATTTATTGTAAAACTTACCAGGAATGCATTTAGATAGTCGATTTTCTTAAACCAAGTGGAATGGAAATACAGGCCAAATGGAGCCCTATTGCTTAGGTAGTGCCTCTTAAAGTTGTGGGTCAGCATTCTGTAAACATCTTCGCCGCTCAAATGAGGCGGACAACTGTCCACCATGCCGCACATGTATTCACCCGCTTCCAGTTGATTCATAACCATTTCCCAAATTCCTGGATAACTCCTAGATGGACAATTCTGATTTACGCCCGTGCAGCTGTGTGGCATCTTGTAATCCAAGGTATACGGCCAGAGGGGAGGATTAGAATGCGGTGCCACCATGGAGGAATCGTATACGAAGCCAAACTCCTTCATCATGAGGAACTGCCTGTTCCAGCCGACACGGAGAAAAGGAACACGCATTCCCCGGATCTCCTCCATTCGCACGGATGCAAACTTATTGATAATGTTCGCCTGTCCAACCATCTCGTCAAACCAATCCTCTATTGTAGCATTCTTTGACCACCACATTTCCGGGCCCCGATGACTAAGTATAATTGTATATTTTAAGCCTAATTAAATAGGAATCCCATGAGATTCACATGCTGATCAACTTACGTGACTGAGTGCACTGCGATCTCGTGACCATCATTCCATAGCTTCTGCACATACTGATAGTTAGTGAACGGGTGGGAAATGTAAAAGGTGCCCTTTATTGGACAGCCATTGGGATTCCTCCTATTTTGCGTGAACAAAACCTTGGAGAACAGCTCCCAATTATCATGATTGATGGCATCATCGAAGGTCAGCAGAATCATCTGTGGCACATTTTGTGCTGGTATATTGCCGGGTATCTGTGTGCCGTCTTTTGAGCAGAAACACTGAGGCAGTTGGCAGTTTCGAGGATCACAAACGCCAGCCGCATTTGGATCGTGCTCCACATCACACCAACCTTCATCGGATCCATCGGGACAATCCACCGATCCATCGCAAAAGTACTCCTGCGGCAGACATGTGCCATCAGCGCATCCCAATTGGTACTCATCGGCACAGTCGGCCATCTCCAACAGTGGCTTTGGCGCCGGAGTCTCTGCGCTCACATCACAATTATCCACATTCGCCTTGAAGTCACAGATCTGACGCACTACATCAAAGAGCAATCCCTCGGAGCACTTGAACTCGAACACCTCGCCATCGAGGCAGAGGAAATACTTGGCGCACTCACTGTTCGTCCAGATCTTGTGGACCGGCCTGTTTGGATTCCGGTAAAAACGTGCATCTTGCATGCAACTGGCTGGAGTTCCAGCCGATGACGATGTACCGGTGGTCGAGCGACGATGCCGAGTGTGGTTACTGATTATACCGATTCCATCATTGTCTGCAAAGCAGGCACACATAAACTGGGTGTGAGAGAGCCGTGTGTAATTAACAAGGAGACTAATTAATGCGTTGACCCAAAAACGAAACCGCTCACGTCAACCCAAAATTAGCCATTGACTGCCGGTTGCAGCAATATTTCTTCTGATTTTTTTTTTTTTTTTTTTTTGATTTAGCTGGATACCTCAAATCACGCACTGGAATGGGCGATACGTACATACATAGTTGCAAATAGTCAACTATCAAAGAGAAACACGACACAAGCCCACGTTCGCCACTTAAAAAATTTGGACAAATTTCAAGGAAATAGACGAGTATATATGTACATATGTATTTCACTTACTAATTTAGAAGTGCCTAAGATAATGATTCGGATTTCGATGACCTTTTTGATATGCTAAGACCTCGATTAACATTGCCATTTTAATAAATTTTAGTTGAACTTTTTTAAGCAAACAGCGAAAGATAATTTATATTGCAAGTAGTCACGATATACTACATGCTTAGCAGTCAAAATTATAATGACTTGACATTTGAATACGTATTCTATGGAATAACATTCTATGAAAAACTTAGAACACTGCGAATTGTGGAATGTTATAGATTATAGAAATCATTAAACCTTTTGTCTCTCGAATAAATTTCTGCAATTCGCTCGATCAAAAAATTTAAGCCAATGTTCATTTTGAAAACATGTATCTTTGGAAATAAGTGTTAAAAAAAGGTTTATCGATCCAACATATTTGTTATGGAAAACTACCATAAACTCTTAAATACCTTCGGGAAATGGGTTTCTTCTCCACCCACTTGAAAGTACGCCCCTGAGTGCCGTGTGCCACATTGCGGCGGATAGATTGAAATGCGTTTGCATCATGGATTGGCAGCAATGGCCCGTAGCCGTGCCGCACCAGATCGTAACTCAGACAATTGGGCAAGAGACGCGTGTTGGCCAAATGCAAGATGCGATCTCGAGACTCAAGATATGGCTATAACAGATAGTCTGACTAACTGGCAGTCCGTGTATGTATCTCAATCTCAATCTCTGGCTCTATAGCTCTACCTCTAGCTGGAGCAGCTGGGCAGTTGCAGCATTTAGAAAGTAAATTTATCATCTTTGTTAGCCAAAGAGAGGCCAAGGCAGCGGGTCAGGAAAATTTCAGCAACTGTCATGGGGTTCAATGCACACACGCTTTTTCGGGGCGCGGTACGGGGACAACCCGACTTGGCCCCACTTGGCTCCCACTTGGTTTGTTATATAACTCCTTCGAACCGATCGACAACTTTCACACCCAATGCGCGCGCGCATGCGCATGCCAAAATATAAGCAAGACACGCACCCAAACCCAATCAAAATCCGAACAAAAGGGGAGAAATTACCAATGACCAGGGCATCCAGCGAAGACGACATAATAATCATAATCACCACCATCAAGATGGACAAACTGGGTAACAGTTGGGCGTTGGAGTTTCGCGGTGATAACAGCTTAAGGCGTCGCTGGGCGGAAGCTACGACCTTGACTGTGAAACCCGTTTGGCAATTTACATTTTCATTTTCCCCCGGGCAGAGCATTTTTCAGCCTGCTTTCCACTTTGCGTGACGTCGGCCGAGTGTCCAATATTTATATCTGTTTCGGGCGCTTTTATTTTCCGTTTAGTGTGTTTTTGCTGCAGAGTGGAAAAACTTCGGAAAATCGCGAGTGGAACCGCACTGAGCCAAAGACGAATGGTGACTGAAGTCAGGCCAGATGCAGTCATGGCATTATATATTTGGGCATTTCTATTACAAGAGGGTAGTCGAGACCCCACCACAGAGAAAGCTCATCGCAGTGGTTAGAGAGTGCAGATGTTAGAGAGAAGCGGAGAGCATCTTTAAATATTTTTTCACTGAATTATTCATTTTATCAGTTGTATATTCATTGCCTGTTTTCGTCCTTAAAAATATTTATAAATAATTTGTTAGATTTCGTATTTGGATTCGAATTGTTTTAAAAAAATCTTTCTCAAAATTAAGTTATGTTAATAATAGTGCAACTTTATAACTGAATTCGAAGATAATAAATTGAAACTTTAAAATGCTTGCCTCTTAGAGTGGGTAAATCCTATTATCTGTAAATCCTATTTGAAAAGCATATTATATGGCTAAAAATAATAATCTGGTTTATAAACTTCATGAATAATTTTACTAGTCCGTTATTGAAAGCAGGCTTACCGACATTTTTAAACTTAAATAGTAGAACTGCCAACTTGCTTGCTATCCTTCTTTACTAAGCAGCTTCGAGGTGTTTGGAGAGAAAAAGACAACGGTCACACCGCAAGTAGCGTCCTAATTCCATTAAATTGGCGCTCGAAGAAGTATTTGTAATTGAAGGACTTTAATGCGTACTGGTTTTTTTCTGAAAAGGGCTTAAGATGCAGAAGGCGCGTCCCAGCAAGGGCTCGCCCAAGGCAATTGGCGGTGGGCGCCAAAGTGGCCATTTCCGGGTGCCGCAGCTAACTGCCCAGCAGCAATTGCGGGCACAACAACAACAGGAAGAGGAAGACGCCGCTATGGATGCTTTGGACGATGCCTTAATCTTTGATGACGAGGAGGGCGGAACACGGATCGGAGATATATACATACCGCCCCCAGTGCCGCCACATTGCTCCATGGAGAGCACCGGACCTCGCTTAATCATTTCAAAGATTGTGAATCGGAATTTTAAGAGCTACGCAGGCGAAGTTGAACTTGGTCCTTTTCACCAGAGCTTTACGGCTATCATTGGACCGAATGGTAGCGGAAAGAGCAATGTCATCGACTCTATGATGTTTGTCTTCGGTTGCCGCGCCAATCGCATTCGTTGCAAGCGAGTATCCACATTGATCCACTCTTCGTCAAGTTTCCCAAATCTAAAGAGTTGCTCGGTAGCCGTGCATTTCAAGCAAATCGTGGACAAGGGTGACGGAAGCTGCGAAGATGTTCCAAATTCCAGCATTGTCATCGAACGCACAGCCATGTCGGACAACTCCTCGTACTACCAGGTCAACGATAAGAGAGCCCAACTCAAGGATGTGGCTAAACTATTGAAAAAACACCATGTAGATCTGGAGCACAACCGTTTCCTTATCCTCCAGGGTGAAGTTGAGTCCATTGCCATGATGAAGCCAAAGGGACAGACTGAAAATGAAACTGGAATGTTAGAGTATCTTGAAGATATTGTCGGAACCCAACGCTATATTCGCCCACTGCAGCAGATAAACCAGAGGGTAGATCAACTCACAGACGATCGAACCGAGAAGCACAACCGCTGCAAGCTGGCCGAGCGCGAGATGAAGGATCTGGAGCAGCCCTTCAACGAGGCCGTTGACTATCTGAAGAAGGAGAATGAGTTAGTGCGCACCAAATCCTTCCATGTCCAGAAGATCATAAGTATCAAAAAGAGCAAGCTGGAGCAGTATACAAAGGAGCACGAAGCCTGTGTAGATGAGCTGAAGACCCACGACGAGGGTACTGCTGCTCTGAAACAAGAGCGAGCCGAGAAGGAAACGATCATTCGAAAGGAAATTGAGTAAGCGCCAATCTATAGTGTTTTAATACCTTAAATTAAATTACATTACCACTTTGCAGAGCCTATGAATCTCTAGTGAAAAAGCGCGAGCAGATCAAGAAAAGGCTGGTGACTGTCGAGAGTGCATACACGGAGATTCAAAGCACTATGGAGAACACAAACAAGCAACGCAAAAAGGACAAGGCCCAGATAGATAAGAACGAGAAAGAGCTGGAGGATTTGCACAAGTTGCCAGAGAAAAATCAGCGCGAGATCGAGGACTGCAACAAAAAATTGGAGAGCCTAGAAAAAAACAAGGTGACACTAAATGAAGAACTTGAAAATCAGCAGGCTGCGCTAACGGAAACCACGGCTCCTCTAACGGAGAAGCGCCTGAAGCTAAGTGACGAGTTGGTGGGGCTCAAAGAGAAGGTCAACACGGCCAAGGGAGAACTGCAGGTATTCGAGTCGCAACTAAAGATTCTTAAGCAAGCAGAGACCACAGAGTCCAGAAAGTATGAGACTTTGAAAAGCTCCTATGAGCAATCGCAAAATAGTCTTGAAGAAAAGGTAACCAGGATGGACGAGTTAAAAGATAGCATTCCACGTATGAAATCCGATATAGCCAACAAGACAGGAGAACTGGATAAAATGGTCAAAGAGGAACGAAACCTATCAATGCAGTGCAACAAACTAAGAACAGAGGTACATTTGCACTTACAAAACGAACTTTATAGTATAATTTAGTATAACATTTAATTTTGTTCTCGACATAATTCAACTTTTAGATCAACGAAAGATCGACTGTCATGCAGGCTCAACGCTCCAATAACAAGGTTCTAGACTTCCTCATGCGCCTCAAAATGGAGGGGAAACTCCCAGGTGTTATGGGACGCCTAGGAGATTTGGGTGGCATAGATGCCAAGTATGATGTGGCAATATCGACCGCCTGTGGTCGCTTGGACAATATAGTCACTGACAACTATGATACTGCATCAGCTGCCATTGCTGCCTTGAAGCAATACAACGTGGGTAGGGCCACCTTTATCACGCTGGAAAAAATCGAACACCTTCGTCGTGACGCCAATTCCAGAATAAATACGTAAGTAATGGGAATCGTAAATTAATTTGTTTGGTATAATCCTGCTTCTATATATTTATGGCAGACCGGAGAACGTTCCCAGATTGTACGATCTGGTTAATGTTGAGGACGACCGTGTAAGAACCGCATTTTATTTCGCCTTGCGGAATACACTAGTGGGCGACGATCTCGAGCAGGGCACCCGCATCGCCTATGGTAGGGAACGCTTCCGAGTGGTGACTTTAAAAGGTGAAATGATCGAGATGACTGGAACCATGTCTGGTGGCGGCAATCGCCCCATACGCGGTAAAATGGGCACTCAGGTGCGAACGAAGACTGTAGAATCGGCTGACAGCTCGCAAGTGTCACAGAAGGCTCTAGAAGATATGCAGATTCAGGCGGAGGAGCTGCAATCCCGTATCAACTACTGTCAGGAGCAACAGGGCAGCCTTGAGCGCGAGATTCAAACCCTGAAAAATGGCGTACAGCGCGACGAGGCAGAGTACAAACGGCTGGGGGTAAGCATTACATCATTGGAGCAGCAAATGGCCAGCAACTTAAAGCAGTGTGAGGCTCAGCGCCAGCGAATGCTCAAAAAAACAACGGACGAAGGGGCCGTCAAGGAGAGGGAGGAGCAAATAGATGGAGCCAAACAAGAGCTCGAGCAAGCTCAATTTGCCGAACAGGCTGTATCTAGCCAAATCGACGAGATCCAAGCCCAGTATGATAAACTGAGAAACGAAAACGTGAAGCCTGTAGAGGCAAAAATTAAAAAGGTGGGCAACCAGATCGAAAAACTGGCTGCCAATGTGCGCTCCTTAAATGTGGCTTTGGCTTCCGCTGATCGTAATATTCAGAAAATCACCGGAAACAATAACAATCTCCGTGAGAACATAAAAGCTGCAGAGGAAAAATTGAAAGCTTTGAACGAGGATCGTCAGAAGTGTCAAGAAAAAAAGGATGAGCTGGAAAAGGAAGCCGAGGAATCAGAAAAAGCTATAGACGGGGCTAAGTCCCAGTCCTCTGATATCAAAAAACAAATAGATGAGATCACCAAGCAGGAGAATAAAAGGAACATCGAACGTATTGAAATAGATACAAAGTTACAAGCAGCAGCGGGTAAAATGAACAAGGTCAAGACTGACATTCCTGGATGGCAGGCCCAATTAGCACCTTTAAACCTCAACGAGATCCCAGGAGAAACTGAACCGCAAGCGCCACTTAAAGAACTCAATGAAGAAGAGTTGGAAGCAGAAACATTGGAAGCGTTGCAATATAAGCAAACCATGTTGGAAGAGGATCTGAAAACAAAGAAGCCAAATCTGGGATGCATCAAGGAGTTCAATGAGAAGCGCATTGTTTACCTAGATCGCGTTCGAGTCCTGGAAGACATAACCTCCAAGCGAAATGAAATGCGTGACAAGTACGAAGAGGTGCGAAAGCGTCGCTACAAGGAATTCATGGATGGGTTCAGCATTATAACTAGAAAACTTAAGGAAATGTACCAGATGATTACGCTAGGGGGTGATGCTGAGCTGGAGCTGGTGGACTCCATGGACCCGTTCACTGAGGGCGTTAACTTCACGGTGCGACCGCCCAAGAAAAGCTGGAAATACATCTCAAATCTCTCAGGCGGTGAGAAAACACTGTCCTCGCTGGCCCTAGTATTTGCCCTTCATTACTATAAACCTTCTCCACTCTACTTCATGGATGAAATTGATGCGGCGCTAGATTTCAAGAATGTGTCTATTGTGGGGCACTATATTAAGGTTAGTTTACCAAAGATTTCGAACTCATAATTCGTTTATAAATTCTTTTTTTTTCAGGAGCGTACAAAGAACGCACAGTTTATAATTGTTTCACTGCGTGTGAACATGTTCGAGTTGGCCAACTTTTTGGTTGGTATATACAAGGTCAGCGATTGCACAGACTCCATCACCATGCTAAACTACCCTCCGTCGCTGCCGACTCAGCGGCCCATGGTCGCTAACAGTCAGTATGTGGGTGAAACAACCGTTCAAGATAATACTCTGGTACCCGTTGAGAATCATACGCAAGATTCTCAGGTCAGGCAGTCGGAAAAAATATCCCGCTTTATAAATCAGTTAGGGAGGGAAACTACCTTTGCTCCGACCTTGGAAAGTACAGGAAGAGATACTACATTTGCGCAACATGTGGAGGGCACCGTTATTGCAGATGACATTCAATTGGTGAATGCCACGGGACGAATAACCACGGATGTGTCTTTAGATAGTCCGCCCTGCTCCCCAACCCTTGTTAATGTTTAACTTTAAAGCGAAGGCAAATCTGCACTGTATTATTTTATTTGTAGTTTATTATAGTTTTCTAAAGACCGGTTTTGCCATCTAGTAAAGCTGCATGTTGTAAACAAGTCTAAATTCCACATCCACTGAATTGGTTTAGCATTTAATTTCTTTTAAATTTTAAATGTTCATGAAGAAAAATCTTTGAAAAATACTTGGTTCTTAAGGAAAGAAAATAAAGCTGACAAGATTTAAAAATAAATGTTACATAAAAGAACTTGTTTATTTAAAAAGTTTATGGTTTAACATTTATATTCTTATCTAAAACTAGCCATAATCTTTGAACATATCCCATCAAGCGCCTGAGTTGTGCTATTCTTAATCTCCGTTATGTCGACGCCAGAATCGCAAGCTTTGGCTACCTCTGGATCTAGAGGCAGTGAGCCCAACATCGGAATTCCCATCTCGGCGCACATGGCAGCAGCTCCTCCGGTTTTAGCTGGAAAAATTTCTGAGCTATTTCCACAATTTCCACAACGAAAACTGCTCATATTTTCGATCACGCCCACAATGGGAATGTTTTGCTTTTTGCAAAAGTTGATCTCCTTACGCACATCTAGTAGGGCGACCTCCTGAGGAGTGGTCACTACGACTGCACGCAAGGAGTCTGGTTTATTGTCATCCTTTAGGTAGGTAACGACGGATAAGTGTTCGTCGGAAGTACCAGGCGGTGTGTCAAGCAATAGGAGATCCAGATTACCCCAGTCGACTTCACTTAGGAACTGCCGAATCATGCCATTCTTCTTGGGGCCGCGCCAAATGATGGCGTCATCCACGGAGCCGAGAAGAAACCCGATCGACATTAGGCACACATTGTCATCGATTCCCACGGGTGACCAGCCGTAACCAGACTGATGAACATTCTCACCTAAGGCACCCATTAAACGAGGTTGGGATGGACCGCAAATATCAATGTCCAGAACGCCAAAGTTGCTGTCCGGACAACTTCTAGCTAGGTAGCGAGTCAGTAAACTCGTCACCGTACTCTTGCCAACTCCTCCTTTTCCGGATAATATCAGCAGTTTGTTCCGCACATCTTTTAGAGACTCGGCCACCAAAGCCTTGCCGGGATCCTCAAGTTTCTTGTTGGGGTCACTGCAGATGCTTTGGTTAGGACAGCCGGCACAAGCGTTCCCTTTACCCGCCTGCTCGCTGTCCACACCAGGACAGTGTTCTGGAGGGGGCGCCTGCATTGCTTTATGCTTTAATAGTAGTTATTCCGAAAATTAATTGTGAAATTAAATGATAACACTAAGCTAGTGTGGCCAAATGAAATTTTTTTATCAATTCAAAAAAAGATTTAAAAATAAAAAAATATATTCTTTATACGAGAAATAATAAAAAAAAATAATAATAAAACTGACTTTATAGTAAATGTAACTATTATGAAAATTTATACTATTAAAGCAAAGTACTTTCCTCTACTTATATTAATAAAATGTAAATCAAATTTTGCTTAAGAGTATTTAGTTCTTACTAGTATCTTTTAAGGCTGGGTATTTTTCTCTGCCACGCACACGGCCACACTGCACTTAACTATTGCTTGTCATTGCATTTCGGCAACTCACAAACAAGTTTAAAATATACCCAAAAACCCCGAAAGTATAAAAATAATTTAGAGATGGAGACACTACTGGGTATCAAGGGCCCCGACTTCGTAATGCTTGCGGCCGATACCACCCACGCTCGCTCTATAATCGTAATGAAGGAGGGTAAGACGGAAGGTCTGCATTTTCTTGGCGGCTTGTGTCTCAATTGGTTCCGTTTTACTTAAAACACTTGCAGATCAGAACAAAATCCATAAGGTATCCGATAATCTGCTTATATCTACCGTCGGCGAATCAGGTGACACGGAGCAATTTACCGAGTTTATTTCAAAGAACATAGCCCTGTACAAAATGCGCAATGGGTACGATTTGAGTCCACATGCGTCGGCGCATTTCACTCGCAAGAATCTGGCCGAATATCTTCGTAGTCGTACGCCCTATCAGGTTTTCATGTTTGTGGCAGGGTAAGTATTTAAGGACCAGTTAATCATTTAAATTGCCGAATCTTATTTTATTTCTACTATTCAGCTATGATGCCAAAGATGGTCCTGAGCTCAATTTCATTGACTACCTGGCCAATGCATTGCCTGTGAATTATGCCGGTCACGGCTATGGCGCAATCTTTGCATCCAGCATATACGATCGCTACTGGCACCCAAACATCACCCAGGATGAAGCCTACGATGTTTTTAAGAAGTGCATTGCCGAGATCCAGAAGCGATTGGTCGTCAACCTTAAAAACTTCACTGTCGCCGTGGTGGACAAGGATGGTGTACGGAATTTGGAGCCCATCAGCGCCGCAAGCCTGGCCGCTTAGTTAGATTTTGATTCAAGCATTATAAATGCACAGTTTTGTAATAAAATGCGTCTGGATTTTGGTACGAACAAAAGATGTTTCACCGATTATTTGCTGTATAGGCATTGTATTTTTTTTTATCATTGTAAAAAAAATCGAATTAGAAATCAAGCAAAAAAATGAATCAATTTGCTGTTCGTACTCAAATTTTTTTCCTAATAATTGCGGACCAGAGAGGATCAATAAAAATGAAGTTTTATGTACAATTATAATAAATAAAAACAACTAAATATGTCTAATTTAAAAATTCGAATATCTTTTTTAATTACTTTTAAAAAACTAAAATACAAATTTTGAGTATTTTTGTGGTATTTTTTTATGCAAAGTATTTTCTTTTTTAGCCTTATCAGTCACACTAAAAGTTGTTACACAAAATAAATAGTATATTTAACACAATATGAGCCTTGAACAACAAACACCCGTAGATCCTCACAATCCCCACGGACTTGGTGAGACTAATCTCTTAATCTAAAAGGATCGTAAACTGATATTCCTTCTGCTAGGCGACCCCAACGATACCAGGTTGCGCAAGGTGGAGCGAGAAGTACTGATACCCAAGATAATGCGCGATCGTGCCAAAACGGAATTCTGTTCGAAGGAAGTGGCCGATTTCCAAGAATGTTGCAAGGCCAGCAGTATATTAATGGTGGCCACTTGTCGGAAACAAAATTCTGCCTTGAAGGAATGCCTAACACAGTGGTATCAAAACGAGGCCTTCAAAGAGGAATGCAAGCAGATATATCTACAAGAACGAGCCGATTATCGCAGCACCGGCATACCCAAAAAACATCGCCTTGAGAAGTTGTAGAATCCTCAAATAGTTCCTTATTGTTGTTTGCTTTGTACAAAAGTTAAGTAATTAAAACGACGCACGATTGTCTCTGTTACTGTGGTTTCCTGAATGTCTTCAGGATTGGATATAATAGTCTCTCGTTGGACAGTTAGCAGCAGCACATCCTTATCAGAAGTTTCCGCCACACGTTGAACACCTTTTAAGTTCTTTGATTGAAAGTAATCCAGATCAGTGGGAGCTTGAACTATTACTAAGAAGCTGGCATGAAACAAGCGAGGGCTTTGCTTGTAGATAACTAAAATTGGCTTATTATTATTTATCTTAGGGTTCTGGATTACAGTACTTACGAAAGTCACCTCCAAACTTAATGCCACTCTTGATCACCCAATTTTTGGACTTTAAATACAAATAGCAGGCTAAGTTCTCTAAAAATCTATCATTCATCTGTTTTGCTTCCTTCAAAAACATCTGAAAGTCCATTAGACTGCCAGCTGGGTTGCTAATCTCTAAAATTTTTAAGTAGTAGGCCAAGAAACAGGACTCCTCTATTCCCAGGAGCAGAGTTTCGTTATCGTCCCCAGATGCCGGTCCACCACGAGATTTGCTTCCCTTGCCAAAGCAACCACTTTCATACAGCGATTTACCCTGAACGTGGTCTGTGATTTCAACGGACAGTCCAGTAAATCTTCCTCGATAAAGTTTTCCATTTTGGCAATTCGGTAATAAAGTAAAATTGAAATTTCTGTTATGGCAGCGCTTTTTTTTGCACGGAAATGTGAACTGCATTTTTCGAACGATTTCAGTTTATAATTTGGCCATACTGCGCGGCATAGAAATACCAGAAAATCCTTAAGGCACTCTTAAACTTAAGTAGCTGAATATATAAAAAATATTTCTTACTTTTAGTATGGGTGTTTGAAACAATGTTAAATTTCAAATTGAAAAGCCAAATTGAATTAATAAAAAAAAATACTTTAAAAAATCTTTTAATGTATAATCGGAATGAAAATAACGTTGGCAGTTCCAAGCTATCGATATTTTCCAGGTACATTGATTTCCGATTAAACATCGGTATCAATCGACTATTCGATTAAAGACTGCAGAAAAGTCACAAGACCAGTCAGCTGAATTTCGGTGCTGTGTCGCAGTAGTGTGAAAAACACTCGGTAATATTTGATAGATTTTCATAAATTCTGTGCTTGAATTTGTGTGTGCCGAGCGTCGTCGCAAGAAAGCCCTCAAAATGACTTCCGCCTTGTATTTACCCGAGGAGAACATTGGTGAGTTTTCCTTTTCCGCCGCACCGCACCTCATAGTCGACCTCTGGCGAAAAATCGAAGTGTGAGTGTGTGGGTGCATGGGGTGGTTGGCTGCCCAGTGAAGCACCCCATATGTAACTCCCATAGTAACCTGGTTTTATGGCTAACCCCACAGATATGATTGCTGCCACCTCAGTGCTGCAGCAGCAGGCGGCGGACATCCGCACCAGGACGATCAACTGGGCATCGTACATGCAGTCGCAAATGATCAGTGAAGAGGATTACAAAGCGATCAGTGCTCTGGACAAGTCACGTGCCAGCTACTTGGCCGAGAACTCCAGCCAGGTGGTCAAGACCCTGCTGAATTTGGTCTCGCATTTGTCCAAAGACTCGACCATTCAGTACATACTCGTGCTGCTCGATGATCTGCTGCAGGAAGACCGCTCCCGGGTGGATCTGTTCCATGAGACGGCCGGCAAGCTGAAGCAGTGTATCTGGGGTCCGTTCCTGAACCTGCTGAACCGCCAGGATGGCTTCATCGTCAACATGTCGTCGCGTATTCTGGCCAAGTTTGCATGCTGGGGACGCGAGACCATGCCCAAGTCGGATCTGAACTTTTATCTACAGTTTCTGAAGGATCAGCTGGCCAGCAATGTGAGTTGCATGTGTGTGGTAGAGAATTAAAAGTCTGAAAGCATGTTAATGTTGCCTATGATATGTTTATGAAATCAGGAGAGCATGTGGAGTCTGTTTAAGCATATATTTCCTTTTTTTTAGGCAAATATTGTCTATAATTTTTGTATATAGCCGAAATGTTCTAATTCATCAAGCAATTGCACTGTATTTTTATAAAAGGAGCTTTGTTGAGTCCCAGAAATTAAGGCAGTGCAATAAAAGCAAAATTTTTTTATATGTCACTAGTTTCCTGAATTGTTTATAGGTTTTCCAATAAGTCACTGAGATTACCGCATGAAAGTTATATGTAAATAGTAGTAGCATGTTAAAGTTGTTTAGTAATATATTCCAATTGCAAAATCTCTAAAGTATTTCGAACTAATCTCTTTAAGTTATTCACCCGATAGGAACCGAAAATAATTAACTTTATTCAAAGCTAACAAATCTAATAACCTGCTAAGTGCATGTCTTGCCCGTATTGATTACTATACATTATTATACATTTCTAAATACTTTCTAATTAAATCAAAACGAAACAGATTTCGTATTAATCTGTAACCCAAAACGAAACTGACGTCGTCTTGGCGAAATACTCGTTAAACCTCTGCAAATGAGGAGTGTAAACATAAAGTTTGTAACTACATTATGACATACATCAGCACTCAGAATCTTGTCACTTCATATCCGAACCGTATTTTATCCTGGAAATTTATTTCGCAAAACTCACCCTTCCCGATCATCACGTGCAATCGTGTGTCATGTGTCACAAATAGCACCAGAATATAATTTTGTTATTTACCTTGTGTTCTTGTCCAACAAACGTATTTATCTGTTCCGCTGCACTTGAACCCTGTGAACAATTTTAATTTATATGCAATTTACCATCTATGAATCGATTGAATCGATGTCTGTGGACGATCCACCCCCACAACCTACGACCCACGACCTCTGTTCCCACCCTAGGGCTTAGCCTATCTGCAAGAGATGGCCCAGCTGGCCAAGCGGACACAAACGATCATTGTGCACACGCATGGACAGCATGGCAAAGACAAAGATCACCATGGCCACCAGTACAGTCCCACTTTGGCCCAGCTCCAGCAGCAGCACGAGCTGGCCGAGAGGGCCAACGAGAGCTATCGGGAGGTGGGCAGTAGCAGTGATCACCAGCAGCAGGACGGGAAATGCGTGATACCGGTATTCCAAAAAACTAAACCCAACAAATCCAAACTCGCAGCAAATCCACTCGCCGAAAAAAACCAAAACATCCACTTACCCACCCACAAAAACACGAATAAACTATCCAACAAGGGAGGGAGCACAGTCGATAAGCTCAAATCATAAAACAAATGCAAAAATAATTATAACTTACGTGATTTATGGAGGGGTCTCTTTTTTAAAATGTAGAATTTCTCAGTCTTTAAAGAACTCCCGTCAAAATGAATACATAAACTAAAGTTTTTTAAAACCCGTTTTTATACCATCAATAATTTTGAATGATGTTTCATTTAATTTTTAATTTTAAGATGTTTTTTTTCGTGAACCTTTTTGTGTAAGGTATTACTCTAAAAAATCGACTATGATCCCTGTGTTTGTGTGATATTTCTTAGTCTTTTCGTAACTGTTTACTAACCCGACTAATAGCGTGTGAGAAGGCTGCAGAAGAATCCGGCTCGAAGGCCATAACAACCAGTGTTGTCAAGCAGTGTATGAAAGTATCTCAGTGCGGTGTAACGGTAATTCAAGGTCCAGGTGAAGGTTAAAAACTACACGATAATCAACCAAAATTACACAAAGATAAACCAATGGCATAAGGTGAATTGTTCGAATACCCATTGATGTTGCATCTTCAGCTCTCTTTAAATGTTGTCCACTCTCTTCTTCACTCTTTTTCTTCTATTGTACGTAGCTTTTAGTAATTATCGTTGTTGTAGCTAGAGAAAAAATAGATTCCAGCTGATATCGTCATAACTAACAAACCTAACCAAAGAAAATTAATGTTAAATTCCAGAATAAACTAATGTGAATTTTTTGTCATTAATAGAACAACGAATACATCCAATCGGTGGCTCGGTGCCTGCAGATGATGCTCCGCGTAGATGAATACCGTTTCGCATTTGTAGGTGTCGATGGAATCAGCACTCTGATCCGCATCCTCTCGACCCGTGTCAACTTCCAGGTGAGTTTGAAATTGAAATATGTAAATTGTTTGGTACAATTTAAATTCGATTTCTTATTCATAGGTGCAATACCAGTTGATCTTCTGTCTTTGGGTGCTGACCTTCAATCCCCTGCTGGCCGCCAAGATGAACAAGTTCAGCGTGATCCCCATCCTGGCTGATATCCTCAGCGATTGTGCCAAGGAGAAGGTGACCCGCATCATCCTCGCGGTCTTCCGCAATCTGATTGAGAAGCCGGAGGATTCATCGGTGGCCAAGGACCATTGCATCGCCATGGTCCAGTGCAAGGTGCTGAAGCAGCTCTCCATTCTTGAGCAGCGTCGCTTTGATGACGAGGACATTACCGCCGATGTGGAGTACCTCAGCGAGAAGCTGCAGAACTCGGTGCAGGATCTGAGCTCCTTCGATGAGTACGCCACTGAGGTGCGCAGCGGTCGCTTGGAATGGTCACCTGTCCACAAGTCGGCCAAGTTCTGGCGCGAGAATGCCCAGCGTTTGAACGAAAAGAACTATGAACTGCTGCGTATCCTCGTCCATCTGCTGGAGACCTCCAAGGACGCCATCATCCTCTCTGTCGCCTGCTTCGACATCGGAGAGTATGTCCGTCACTATCCCCGCGGCAAGCAGTAAGTATATAGTACTCGTACTCTCGATGCTTAAATGTGCTGAGCCAGCGAGAACCCATTTATCTAAGCTACAACACCACATTAATCATACTCTTTTCCTTAGTGTGCTGGAACAGCTTGGTGGAAAGCAGATCGTGATGCAGCATCTGGGTCACGAGGATCCCAATGTGCGATATGAAGCCCTGCTGGCCGTGCAAAAGCTGATGGTACACAACTGGTTAGTATGGATTTTGAATGCTAATCCTCTAATGCCTTTCCCATATTCGCATGCAGGTTCTGTGATCCTCATTTCATTCTGTTTCAATCCTTGACCAAGATTATTTTCAAAATTCTATGTGAACTTAACATAAGTCTGTTTTGCTCTCTATGTTTTTATCAGGGAATACCTGGGCAAGCAGCTGGAGAAGGAAAACGAGAACCAGAAACAAGGTGCCGCCCCTATCACTGGCAAAGCCTAAGCGGTCCAACCAATCAGTCATCCATGCACAGGCACACAACAAATATTTTAGCCAGGCCGCCAGCCTGTGACCTTAATTAACAATAAGAGGCGTAGGAGGATCTACATACATCTCTAACCTGATTCTCCGCTTCTCCATCACACTTACTATGATGTTTGTTCTTGCTACCTTTAAGCGCATGTTTGCTCCCCGTTTAAACTAAGTTCTTGTTTAGCCCATACCCTCCGTCTACGCCCATTTACGCCCTCAGTCCATAGAACCGTATTGAAAGAACAATTCGATTTTTTGTTGGCATTCCAAAAAAGCAATTCACTGTAATGGCAGAGCAAATACAAACAGCTATCCTCTACGATTGTTCCATTCAATTCGATTGTTTATATTTTGTTGTTATTATTATTTGTGTTCTTAATTTTATATGTGCGCCGCTGTACAGAGTTTTTCTAAACCAGATGATATGCACTTCTTATGTATTATAACCGCGTCAGCGCATCCACAACTAAACAAATTTAAAGAAAACAAAAATATATTGTATAAACCTATCAAGTATTTCTTTCATTAAAAACTAAATCAAATAAGCATAATTGAAAAGAAAAATATGTATTGCATAATAAAGTTGTTATCAAGTGTACGATAAAGTTTTGCGACTGTAAAAAAATATAAATTAGCCAAAATTATTTAAAACTGTTGAATTTTATAAGCGTATCAAATGGTATGTGATATAAGAGAGGCGGTGTTCTACTCTCTTTCAATGTTCCTATCTTACTGTGACGTAATATTTGATCAGGTGCTCTTTTTGGGCAGTTTGATAGTTTAGTTACGAGTTAGTTGTTATCCAGGGCACGAGACCAATGGAACCTCTTAAAGGCCTCCTCTCTTTGTTCTATTGTTCAGTCGAGACACGTGATATAGTATAGTAGTAATATCTCTTTGTATTACGGCTGGACTGAAGTCCAGAGTTCTCTTTTCTGATAATGGAATACTTTTGCATGACTAAGAGATGGGGAGTTCCCTTAAATTTAAGCCTCTTGAATGGCAGCAGAGCTTTAAAGCTTGGGACTTAAAGCATTCGATCACAGGTTTCCCCAATTTAACAATGTATACTTTAAAATTAATTTTATTCCATACTTTTCTGCAAAGTTCTTCAATACAAAAACATTTTAGTTATAACTTTTAATTGTTTTTTTTATTATTTAACTTTTTCTTGTTGTTGTCACAATTCTCATCGGGTTTAAATTAAATATTCCACTTTTTATTTAAATTAAATAATAAATTGTCCTATTTAAACTTTATAATTAACATAATTGTAGTTTTTAGGTCTGTACTTTGTTGATTTGTAGTTGTTTGCTGCTGTTGCGGTTTTTTGCCGGACTGTGACTGAACACAATAATACAGTTAGACATCCTGCAGTGGTTTTGGGCGAGTTGATGGACAGCACCTTTACTTGGTGGCCGACTTCAGGTAAGCGATCAGATCGCCACGCTCGTTGGGCTTCTTCAGACCGGCGAAGATCATCTTGGTGCCGGGGATGTACTTCTTGGGGTTCTCCAGGTACTCGAACAGGGTATCCTCGTTCCAGGTGATGCCCTTGGCCTTGTTGGCGTCCGTGTACGCAAATCCGGCAGCCTGTCCGGTCTTGCGACCGATCAGTCCATGCAGATTGGGTCCAACCTTGTGCTTGCCACCAGCCTCAACGGTGTGGCACTGAGCGCAGCGCTGCACGAACAGCTTCTTGCCCTTCTCAACATCACCAGCAGGTACACCCATTATGGATTGATTTATGTGTTAACACGGACTCGACTATGGAATAGAAGACAATTGGATAATTAATAACTTATTTAAGAAACAAGCCCGCTACATAGCCTGAATTCTGTGAATTGTCACCTAAGTTTTTTCCAAAGTTCAACTAGCGGTTTTTGGAATCAATATTTGCTGTATTATCAGGTATTTTGCACGAATTTATCATTAACTGTATCATATATTTCTTATCATTTGTGGTTGGCACACAAAAGTAAAAAATAATTGAATAAATTGAATTGTATGGTTAATATACCAAAAAACAAAATTGTTTTCAAGTAATTTTTCTGTGTGTAGGGACCGTGAAAAAAATTTGTCCCCTTGGCCCCATTATGTAAACAATTGATAAGCTCGCTGCGGAAACGGAATTATTAAAATTACTAATGCTGTATGAATTAGTTGGCTCCTGTTCCTGATAAGGCTCTAGTATACCACTTTATTGTTATCTAACTGATTCTGCATTCTTAATGTTCCCCCTTTTTAGCCCACATATATTTTTTATCTTCTTTTACGCGCGGGTAAGCCAACGTCATCAACAACACACACATACAATTAAAAAAAAAGCTTTAGACGCTGGTCACATGTTGTTGCCCCCACACTCCCTATCTCTTTTCCACTCGCACATTCATTCGCCAATCGTCGAATAATTGCGTCAGAACCACTCAGCAACAGGCTAAAACTTCTCCAGGAAGCATCATAAGAAAAAACGTTAGCTGTTTATATAACTAATACTACCAGGGTCTGTGTTACGGTCAACTTGTTAATTGCCGGATAATAAGTTGCATGCAGCTATGTGAACTTGAGAGTGCAAAGTGCCGTTGCAATGAGTAAGTCACCTACACATACAAGCAAATACACTGGGAGAAAAGAGATCGGATCGGCAATATAAATCGATAGATGGGTAGAGCGCTGAATTTGTATCCAAGTTTTATTAAAGGCATTGCTTGGTAACCATATACTATTACTCTTATAATATATCCTATTAAATTCTAGCTATATTATATCACATCCTTTTTCTTTTTGTGTACAATAATCTAGAGAGTGAAAAAGCAACAACAATGTCAACATCTGATTTGGCCTTGATGAGAACTTTTCAGTTAGCTCTCGTGCGTATACATACGTATGTGTGCGAGAGGAAAAGAAAGTGCAATTGGAAAATTGGAAACTGGCCAAAGGCAGCTGTATCTGCCTTTGTGTGGGTGATAATGGGAGAGTGAGAAAAAAAGATGTGCGAAAACGGGGCCAACATCCAAATTTCCTTCTAAAGAGCGAATGTTACATAAGCCGCCTCCTTGCAAAGGTGAAACCTCTTCTTTTTTTCCTGATATAGAAATTGGCACATTGCGGAAAGCAAAACCAGCTTAGCAACCACGTGGCGCGCTTTTGAGCTCCAAAGCAAGCAGAAAAGATTCCAAGAATTGATATATTTTTTTTTTGCCAGACAGTGTGAGCGAGACAGCTGATGATCGGGTTTGCCACTCTCTTTGCTCATGTAATCAACGCTCTCTGGGTCTTTTTCAATGGCAATGTGACTTTGGAATGTTATTTTTTCTATTAATATTTCGCTGCTGATCTTTTCATTTGGAAAATTTATAAAAATAAACTTAATAAACAATTCGGAAAATCACACTATTATACACACACACAAGGACACGTTTATGTAATCTGAATCATCCCCCAAAAAATTATTAATTTGCATGCGAATAATTTTCACACCTAAAAATTATGCAATCCTAACTACGCGGAAGTTTTGTTTTCCATTATTATCAGGCTGAGAACGTGATAATCAATAACTTTTCAAGGTAGTATTTACGTCACTTAAAAATTCGAAAAAGTCCACCCACTACTTACATTGAACACAAACGTCGAGCGTCGCCGATTTTTCACGAATGACGAACGCGGGCTATGTCGATAAGTAAGCAGTGTGACCAGAGTGACCTGCGCCCACACATTAGAAAACGCTAACGGTTTTAATAGTATTTATGCTCATGAAAGAAAGGGCTGTGATTATAAACAGTGAAATAAATCTTGTTTACAAATTTTAATTTCTTTTGACATTTCTCATTTGGTTTTCTTAAAAATCACCTAAACTTATATTATAAAAACTACATCGCTGCATCTGTCAAAAGCTGACTGCTTTATAACACCCTGCTTGGCGCAAAGTTCAAATTCAAACGCAATACAATAGTTTTTTCAACTTTAATTGGTTTTTAACGAAGCAAACCTTTTTAAATGTTATTCGTTATTTACGGTTTCAATTAAAGTTGAATAAAATAGCATTGATTTGCTTGGGTGATGTCATAATTGCCGATCTTGCTGTTTTGCAGTCATTTTTTCTCTACTTGTTTGTCTTGAGGAAGGCGATCAAATCGGCCCGTTCCTCAGCCTTTTTGAGACCGGCGAAGACCATTTTGGTGCCAGGAATATACTTCTTAGGATCCTTGAGGTACTCGTCCAGATTGCCCTCCGTCCAAGTGACGCCTTTCTTCATATTGGCTTCGGTATACTTGTATCCCGGAGCAGTGCCACTCTTCCGACCTACGATTCCGCCCAGATTTGGACCCACCTTGTGTTTGCCTCCAACTTCGTAGGTGTGGCACTGGGCGCACTTCTGCACGAAGATCTTTTTGCCGTTCTCAGCATCAGCACCCATCGTGAAAGTCTATAAGATTATAAGAAGAAGAAAGTAATTTAAAGGGAGTCGTAATAATTTTTATATTAAGAATTTCATTATAGTTTTGGTATTTATAGTTTTGTTATTTCTAAAAATGTGTTTCTAATCCAATGGAACTAACTATATGTATAAAGAGGTAATATAATATTTTGAGTAAATCAGTTTACTTAGTAAAAAGTAAAAAGAATTTCAGTGTCCCGTTTGAAAAGTGCAAGTCCTTGTCCACCTGCGAGAGAGCGAGAGCAACTTTCTTGGCCCCTCTCTTTGGCTGCACAAAGTTAGACGGAGACAGCTGTAAATGCACGAAAGCAAAACGAAATTGGGTCAGAAAAATAAGAAAAACAAAAATTGAATCAAAATGGCTATTAAATGAAAAGCAAACAAGCAGCAGCTCGAGAACTTGGCGGCACTTCTAATAGGAAAAGCAACCGAAAGGTAATTCAATTAGCAGACACAGGCGGTTGTGCCACCCCCTTTTCCCCGCCTCACCTTTCTCGTTGACTAGCAGATGCACATGTGCTTTGAACATTTCCTTTCAATTAAAACGCATTTTACGCACTCTTCTCTTCCGCCCCTTTTTGCTCCCCTCTGCCATGACTTTCCTGTGGCAAAAACAGATGCCACCGCACAACAAAACCAGAAAAACAGAAATAGGGAATAAAGAAAAAGACGCAGGCACCCAGAGGGATATAACGGTCAAACGGGGATGATGATTACTAGAAGGTGTGTCCAGTCTAAGTGATAAAAGTATTGGAATAATATATAACAAATAGAAACATATTATATATGTACATACGTATAAAATAAACTAGAAACACGTTATGCCTTGTACAGTTTAAATCATAAATAGTGTAAAAGTAATTTTTCGCGGAACAATTACATTTTCCAGGTGACTCTCTGTAGGTATCACGTGTACCACCTCTACGTACGTATGTACAAATATCCACATCGGGACATCCTGGCACTGTGACCTAACCTAATTTGCTCTAGAGCCATAATTTACCCGCAGGCAAAACTATCCTGGCTGTTGGCTCGAGTTGCCTCTGCCTGACCGCTATAAATAAATGGCGCAAGAAATTAAATTACGCTTGAACGGGCCAAGCAGAATGTGGCAGTGCGACAGGGATGGCTTTAAGGAAGCCAGTAGAGTGGGGGCATTATTGTTTACTAGATCTATTGCTGCGGAAGTCCATAAAAAGGTAAGAGGTGGCTCTGCAAATGGGGTTTACAAAGAGTGTTTTGAACAGGATACGAAAAAAAGAGTCTGGGAATGAAAGGGGATATGACAACGATAGTCGGATATTGAATTGGTTAGTAGGTGCAGAGGAAAAGAGGTCCTAGGGAAATGCAGATGTTTTTTTGCAAACATAAAAGGAGACAGTTTGCTTATTTTAAGGATACTTTTAAGTGCTCCTTTAATGATAAACTGCTCTGAAAACTGCATATATATTTTGATTTTATTTATTTATCAATTTTGTACAACCCCTTCAGTTCAAACTTTTGTTTATTTTCTTAATAACAAAATAGTTACATATGTACTCAGAAATATTAAGATTAGCTTGAGGTTTCTAATTTATGACTGGCATGACTACTATATAATACTTAATATAAATTTCTTGGAGTACTTCTAACTTGACCAGTGGAATTTGAGTTTAGCTTTATACCTAACTACTCCCCCTTATTTCTAAATCCTCGGCCACCGGGTTACCAAGAACAACGCTTTGGCTGTTGCGCAATTTGGCATGACTTTGATATTCCCGCCAAGCCACACCCCCCACCAGCTCATACTCATAAAAAACCACCTCCACAGCCCCAACCCAAAAAGCAGACATTTCTGGTTTGCCTGGCGCTGCATGGCAAAAACCCTACATTTCTTTCTCGTTCCCCTTTCATTTTGATTGCACAGTAGAAGTTCTCTAGCATCAATTATGTAATAAAACATTGTCAAAATATATAGATTTCTAGAATTTCTAAGAATAATAATGATACCCCAATTTCTAATCAGATATAGCACTAACTAATATTTGTCACATATGCTGTAAATGTTTAAGGAAGAACTACTGTAAATGTTACAGCATGTTTATACTACGCGCTTTTCACTGCTCTAGCTTCTTCTTCTTCTTCGGGGCTTTCTTTTGAGGGGATGGGGGTGAGAACTTGGAGAGATGGCTTCTTTTCTAGAACGAGGTCGCTGACTGCCCTTCAACGCTTTCTGCGGATGCCCGAAAGTTACATAAGCCCCAATAACAACAACACCGCTTGTTGGCTTTGCATTTTATGCTGAGAGAGACCGAGTGGGCCAGTGAGAGCGAATAGAATAGGGAGAACAGTCCCAGCATAAACGACACAGAGAGCTAAAGAGTAAGCTGCAGCGCTGCGCGTGAGAGCAACTATGGGAAATGTGTGAATGAAAAATTGCACAAAATCCTTCAGTTTAGGCAATTTATAACTGTTCTTCGCTGCGACTGCACTGCTGACGTCGCTGCACCAATATGTCAACGGGGGAGAAAAAGAGAGAGATTGCATCATGAAAGAGGTTGCTGTTTTAGGGGCTTTTTAAATATATATTTTTTCTTTCTTCTTTTTCTTATTTTTGGGGGGTTAAATATTAAATTATTTGGTCAACATTTTTATAGAAAATGTGGTCAGTTAACTCATGTTTTCATTTAAAATTGCTTTTTTTAATATATTAAATATTAAATTAATAAAAAATGTCTAAAAAATAAAATATGTGATTTGAGTTACAACAAAGTTGTAAAGTAAAATATGTAGAAGAAAACAATTGTTTAGCAATATTAATCTAAATCATTTTCATTAAGACACCTCTATACATTTTTCTGTATAGGGGGCAGCAACAATGCAATGCAACAAGCTTACCTGCTAGATGCGCCTCTCTCGCTCTCTCCCTTTCGCTACTCCGCTGCTTGTTGCTCTGCCTCTGCCTCCCACAATTTGGAGCTCTCTTGCTTTATGCCTCTCTCTCTTGTTTGAAAAGCACTGCTTAGGGCAACTGCGGCCGCTGCTCCGCTTGGCGTTTTCATTCAATCAGCTGAGTTCGCGGCGTTCGGTTCTCCTGTTCTTGGTTCTTTTCACCGTTGCACCGATCGAATACTACGCGCCTACCGTTGGAGGAAACTGAAAATCGTGCTGTAAATAATTCCTTTAAAACAACAAGACTCGGCGAGAACGGAAAATTTGTTCAGATTGTCACCTTCGAAAAATATCTGTGTTCTGCCACTGACACTGATTTTTTGGACAGCACTTCGGCCGAGGCTTACTTAGCTCAATTAAAAAAAAAACAACATAAAAAAGGTAGCCACCGCAAAGGAGCTGCCAACTTGCATATTACGGTAAGTCAGTTTAGGGGAACATTATTTCCTTTGACTCCCAGTGTTGTGTAACGTGCTACTCTTTTATGCTTCTTGTGTCCTTGCAAAGGCTGCACGTGTCCTTGAAATGCGTCAAGTGGTTCCTACGCTTCTCTCTCTTTCTCATCACCATCTCTCTTTCTCTTTCTTTCTATTCGATTTTACGCATTTTACGTAATCACGCCTAAAAGTTTTTTGTTTTTCTTTTTGCGTATTGCGTTTTCCTTTCGAGCGTAAATCTCGACTCGTTTTTCATTTGGTTTTATGGCCTCTACCCCATTCCCATTTCCACCCCGAGTTCCTTCGCATTTCCCTTATAAATTCTGATATGAACGAGAGCTTTGCGACTTATGTGCTTCCTGCCTAAAAACCAGATTATCCCATAAGGGTCTCGCCTTTTTATCGGTGAAGGACATCTGCATATGAAGTGGATGGAACCACAACTTGAAAGGAAAATCTATTTCTTTATTTATTTTATGGGAAATTGATTTACTTGGGTCTTTGTAAAACATTCAAAATCATTATTATCAAAATGGGTAAAAAATCTATATTCATGATTATGTTCAACATACAGCCTTACATATTTGAAATATATAAATACATTTGCTAAATAGGTTGTCAGTCAACATAAAATACGTAATTTTCATGTTAGCCATAAAATGTTTTTTGTAATTAAGCAATATTTGTTGAGACTTTTTGTATGTCATCTTAATTTATGAATTTGTTTGGTGTCGACATATACATTTTTGTGTCATTTCACAAAGTTTATTCTAATTATTTTTTAACACTATAATATTTTTATTGAAAAAGTAAGGTTAATGTTAAACAAATGTGTTTGTATTTATGTAATTGCATATTTTTAGACTATGAGCTCATTATTTTCCATGTGTTTCATATGTAAAACTTCATTTATTTTTCTTGAGAATCTATCTTGCCGAGTGAACTTCATAAATACTTAGCAAATTCTTTTAAAGTAAAAGTTGGCCCGGAGTTTTCCATCCCGTTGATTTAACATAACCATTCTTGGGAACTTTGAAAGTGGCTCTCATGCGAACTGAGGCACATAATCTTTATTTTTTCAGTTTGGTTGTCATAAAAAATTGGCTCATTCCTTTCTCTGGTGGCAGTTGATTACTTTTGGTCCAATGTACAAGAGTACTCGACGGATAAGTTCACACAAAAGTTCTCAAAGGCTTTTTCGGTCCCACCTCCTGGCTTTCAATTATGTCACTTCATCTGTATTCCACACACCAGCTGAGCTGATGTACCGCCCCCTTTTTGGCTTCAGTTTATTAATCATTTGTGCCTTTTGTTTATGCCTTGGCATGGCACTGGCATTTTTATATAGGCCAATGAGCCGCACTGTATGTGCCATGTGCGGCATGGCCTTTTGTTATGAGCCGCAGAGCTAGTTCACATGGCGGTGCCCCAACATCAATTACAGCATAAATGTTGAGAAATGGCTATAATTTAATTAATTTGCTTTGTCCTGCTGGCAGCGACATAAAACTTAATGATTAATATTCATCGTGCGAAGCTCACGAAGTCAATGAGCCAACTATAATGCCACCAATTGAACACTTGGCCATTTAATTGAGCGTTCACTGTATATAAAACATAACGACTACACTCATCTATACCATATCAGCTATCCGATTCTGTATGTAGGTCAGCTCGTTTGGACGTTCATTCCTTATCATATTATAAAGTGCACTTGGTGTCCCTCAATCGTGACTATAACCAACATATGGGACATGACGCCGCCACAGAAACCCCAAAAAAACTTATCAAACTTTGGGTCGTTTGTGTTTCATTTATATCACTCGGAAACTCTGGGAAGCCAGACACACACAAAGAAAGGAAATCAATATTTGCGCTTAAAATAATAAACCGAATGGTGGAAAACCAAAGCAACAAAGATGATAAGTTTTCCCTTGGGGATCAGTGAAATGGGGCGGACGTAAAGTGCTTGCCAGATAAGTAAAGCAAGCTCTACCTAACTACTCCCCCCACTTTCCACTAAGTGCATTATCATTATTGGAAAATATTCAAATGTCATTAATGACATTAACAATTTTTAGACAGCTGGCTGAAAAGATAATAAATAGATATTGAAATTGAGATATTTAAAAATTAATTGCCATAGTTTAAATGAAATGCAACTGTATTCTTCGTTTGTTTTTAAAATAATTCGAGAAGTTTTTTTACAGTATTGATGAACGATTTCTATGATTAAAAGAATTTCTTTTCGCAACTGAATATTTGTTGTTCTTATTAAGCAAATTAATAATAGTTCCTTTCACCCAATACATTTTCAAAAGATACGTCTTTATCAGAAAACCTAACTAGAATCAACTTGTTATTTATTACATCTATTTTCCGGATATGATAAACTCAAGTTAGAAAGCTTTCGCCAAACCAATTAAACAGTTTTATTGTTAATTTCCTAATTTTATCTACGAAATTTCAATTACCCAAAAGCGGAAATGGCCCAAAAAACCGAAATGAGCCTTGTCACTCAAATTTCGATAAAAGTTCACAGCTGGGTTATAGATGGGAGATGACTAGAATGGTTTGAACCCAAGTGAATTTTCCCCGTTGCGTTTGACTGATTGAGATTAGCTGGAAATTAATGACAAGGCATCAGTCTGGGGCTTACAATGAGCCCCCAAAACAATTTTGCCAACCAAAAAAACAAAAAAACAGACAACGATGAAGGGCATAAATTATGTACAACAATTTACACAGAGAACCAGGCGAAAACAAGGGCAGGACTTGCTGAAAATTCCAAAGCGTGCCAAATGGAAATTGAAAATGGTCAGTGGAAATGGGCAGCCAAAAGGGAGGAACTCAAGCTTGACAGAAGAGGCGGGCAGACAGCGGATGGACGGAAGTGGGCGTGGTCTGTCATGTCAATTAGATTTAATCGAAAATCGATTCGCTGATGCTTGAGCTTGCAGCGAAAAGGTCACAAAAAGGTTGATCTCATATGCAAAAAACGTGGGGTCAAAACCTGATGACCCCTTCCCTATCAGTGTGAGTGTGTGAGGTCTTCAATATTTTCCCAGCGTCATCTTTGTTTATTTTATGGCCCCTTTGAATAAGTGTTTTGAATTATGCATTGGCCACGATTGAAAGTACTTGAGAGGTTTTCCCTCCCCACGTTAAGCTGGAAAACTCATTGGAAAACTGAATCGCTTTGGTCAGCACAGAAAGTTTTAAAGTCATCAGAAAGTGGGGCAATGTGGGTTTGGGCAGAAGATTGTGTGTGGTCTTTGACTTAATTGGAAATTCTTGGCAGAACAAACTTTGATGTCCGAAAATTTGGAGTTTTTAAGAAAAAACTTTTTTTTTTAAATTAAAAATCTTGTTTTATGTTTCCAAAAGGATAAATATTTAAGACAACGTAGTCTTAAATTTTTCTTCAAGTAAATCTTTCACTCCTTCCATAAATTAGTGTTATTTTCGGTTTCATGAAATTGTTTGTATTATAAAACCTATTTAAGGCGCAAGCTGTAGTTGTGTAAAAGCTTATAATGATCTAAATTTGTTAGTCAATTAGTCCTATTTTAATTGCTTTAAAGATTAAACACTACAATTGCCCTTGAAGAAGTTTTTAATTGAAATTTAGTTTGTTATTTTCATCATTCAGTTTTAATTTGATTTTTATTTATTCCGTTTTCATTGCCTTCATTTGCATTTCATTGGGACATTTTCCGTTGTTTTATTCGTAAGTTCATTAATTTATTTAAAACCATTTAACGAGCCATAAAATGATGCCTCCCATCGTTGTAGCGATCTTCGTCTCGCTTTGCCTATCTGCATTTTCCACCATCCATTTGGGTTTGTTTCAATGCTGAGCCGCATTTGTTATCAGGCGCAGGCATAAAGATTTTCCCATCATTATGTAAGAGGTTAGCTCGGTCATAAAACCATGCTTCAGATCCACTCCCCCTTTTTCTGTAGACCCAATTCCCCCCTTCTACACCCAGGCAAGTTAACGAGCTGGCCACAATGGGACTTTGGTTTTTAGCTAATGAGCGACTGGCTGAAGCTGACCGCGCAATTTCTTTTGGCCAACTTTGAACTTCGGTTATATAGTTTCTTTATTTTTTTTCCTTTCTTTAACTTTATTTTTGGGTGTCCGCATTTGGTTTATTGTTTATTGGCTTTTCCTTCGCCTTCGTCTTGGTGTTTATTATTGTTTACGTTGGCATTTCATGCGCAATAATGGTATAATATTTGCATTTGTATTGTCTACGTGGCGTATGCGTAATAGTCGTGCCAAAAGAACAGGAAATGGACATTGGCCATAGTGGCCGCTTTGGCTAGATTGGCCATCGGGTATATTGCACATTGGCACCCCTTGGTTCTTCTCACTCCGGCTAATGGTTTTGTTTGAAAATATATTTATCTGTCTGGGGAATGTTTTTGCTATGCTCGAATGGCTATATACAAAAATATTAAAGGTGCGATTTCGCAATGGGTCAGTGGCTGGTTTATTAATTACTCTTGATGGCAAGGTGCGTTCCTGCGCTGTAAGGCTTGAAGTAAGCACAGTGGATTCTCCCAAAAATTTGTGTTAATCGGCTTAATTTTTAAGCTAGCTAAAAATATTCTTTTAGTCTTATTTTTAATCAAAGTTGTAAATTAGAATCTGTTCATGAATGTTTTGAATTTAAAGCTTGTTATTTGAAAAATGCATTGTTTGGTTAAGTATATAGCTAAATCTGTCTAATGTACTACAAGTATACGTATTCCCTTAGTAAGTTTCCTCTAAATACATATCTTCGAGACTTTCTAGCAAGTTAAGCAATTTAAATAATTCACAGAAGAAAATTGACTTGGGGCCAACCTAATTGTTTGGCATTTTAAAGGATTTTCTGCGGATCAGCGTAAAGTTTTCCCCGAACAGCTGACAACTGGTCTTCTGGCCGTTTAGGTTGTTTCTTCTGCTGGCCTGTGACGTCTAACAATTTTCC